TTTCCAAGTACAATCCTCTGGGGGGGCTTATATTTGGAGGGGCAATTTAACGGAGGGTTTTTTGCGTTACCGGTTTGGGGGGCTTATATTTGGAGCGGCTTATTTTGGAATTTTACGGTATTTAAACCCCAGCTTAAAAGCACCTCTGCCCAGCAATCTAACTGCTTTTTGATTATTCTACCTTTATAGTTATCATAGACAAGTACAGCACCTTTTAGAAGTAAGTTGATTGATGGGTGCATAGAAAAGGTTTCATATAATTCAACTTTAAATGACAAATTACAGTGTAGCACTGTTGGTTGAATTTTGTAAACATAAATTGCACAAACACTTCCTTGTTTATTTCAGTTCCAGCTACTGGTAGTCTGGAATGCAAATTCAAATAATTTAGTTTTATCACTACTGATCTGTGTTAAAAAGGCTGGCAAAATTTCCACTATTACTTTACAAAGAATTATGTGACCAACATCAATTTTCCCTCAATGATATCAATACCATAGTCAAGAGAGAAAGTTACAAGACTTACTAAAATTATCAACAAAGGGAAAAACCTTAGATCTTTCACCAAATTTTCTAAACAAATTCTTAAAGGAAATGCATGGAAATCAGTTTGGAGAATTTGTATGTGGATATTAGGGCTTAAAGGGATAAGAATTTCTTTGCAAATCTCTCTATCAGAGAATCCTGGTTCGCTCAAAGACTCGAATTAAACCCTACCTCAATCCATCGACTTCAGGCCCTGGACTCGCTCTTCCATTAGCTATCACCGTGGAAGAGTTTGACAGTCTTCCATTGGTTCCTTCCATAATAGCAGAGTTTGAGTTCTTTGGCTGCTTCTCAGATTGGCGGTAGCTTTCTAATAAGTCATCAAGAGATGCACTCAGGTTGTCAGTAGAGTCGTAAATGTTTTTCCGTTTGCTGTTTTGAGTTATTTGAGCGAACTTCTGTCGATCGACATTATATGTGGAATAAAAATCTGAATTTGAAAAATGCTCAGCAGCTGTCTTGTAAAGGTTTGGTATGATGTCACTCGATTTCTTTGTAGCAGTGCCGTTAACATTTGATTGTTTGGTAATGCCTGATCCACTGCCACCTTCCCTAATGAAGAGAGAGAGCAAGAAATAAATAGTTTTTGAGCAAGTCTTTGTGCATTAAAAGCAAACAAGATCATTGCAGTCAAAGAAGCATCTTATGAAGTTGCTTAAAGAAGGCCTGAGAAAAAATCAGGCTTGCTGGGAAAAGATATTCATATTCATGTAATTTACATATAAATCAAAAGTGTTTGTCTGCAAAGCAGTGCCGAGATACATGTTATATATAATGGGCCCCCAATGGACTTGACGAATTAACGGAAGTACTTTTCAAATTTCCTTCATCCTGATTGGCAAATCGACAATGACTTTTCTAACAGGCCAATCAAGGCGTGTACTCAAATCCTGGTACACAAGTGGAGGCCTCGAACAAGGATTCTAGCGCTGTTTAGCAGACAGACTTAACCAGAGTTTAGTTTTGTCTGTGGTGCAGGCTATTCAACACTTTCAAAGCATTATTTGTGAGAATGGATTGAAAACAGCTAAATTTTCCTTATAATAAAAATTAGTAAAATTCAAAGATTAATAAAATGTGTAGAGATTCCAACTTTTGTGTGATCTCAATCACATGGTTTTGAGGCAAGAGAAAACGTGCAAAATATATTACGGGGTTTTAAAAAGCAACAGAAAATGTGTGATATCACATAGTTTGAAAACGATGCAAGAAGCTTGCATGAAAATGAGGTAATTTTGCACGATAGAGAAAATGGCCACCATTCTTGAATAGTATCCCCAAATTGGCAAGATGTCTGTCTGCTGTGATAATAGCATTTAAAACCATTTTAAGCTCTAATACAGGTCTACATGCATCAACAAATAATAATATTTTATTCTTGATACTATTCTCCTATCATTTCTCATGGTCCTCAAAGGAACACTTAAGACATTTCTTTACTAAATATGTTACTTAAAACTATGACGCAAATCTCCACAATAATTTTTGCCTCTTTTGAAAAATGTTGTTGTCATCACAGAATGACTAGTTCTGGATTGGGACATTGACCGTATGTACACATTGTGTATGATAAACACAAATTTAAAACAACTAAAACTCAAGGATTTCCATCAGTGTGAAGATTCATTATCCAATAATTTTCATTGCTTACCTTCGCAACTTGATTTTGAGTTTCTGTCTGGAGCACCTAACCAACTCTATTGCCTCAGATCGAGATATACAGTCAATACCATTAATAGCTATCACCTCATCACCAACAGCAATAGATTGAGATATATCTGCTTTTCCGCCTGGAGTAACCTGAAACAGCAAAACACGGTCACTTATGCTGTGGATATGGAACACATCATCAGAGACCTTTAGATTACAAGATAAGACAATGGGGATCAGATTTTCTGAATACACACCAATTAGGAGTGAGTTTACACAACAGGACCACAGGAAGGAAAGGACGGCATCACACTTGTATGTGACAAACGTGACAGGGTCAATACTTGCGTGTTTATGTCGTGATCTTCACTTAAATTAATGCTTTCTGGTCTTTTACAAAAAGATCTGTTTAAAGGGAAGTAAAGTTGGCCAAAAGTTATTTCAAACAAAATCATTGTCATACTTGTCACACAAGGTTTGCCGTCTTCTTCCCTCTCCCACCCTGTTGCGTAAGTTCACTATTGGCATGTGTGCACTGCAAAGTGCCAGCATTATTTGGGCAGGAAAAATGTGATAGCTGTCATCATTCTACCATGAGTTTAAATGAGAATGTAGAAGTGGCGGAAACAAATTATCACCATGGTAGAAGTTTTAGCATTTTGCGATCTGGACAGAGCTTAACCTCCTTACATAAAATAAAACCCTGTTAACATATTTTGGGGAAAAAAAATGATAAAGCTTTCCTCAGCGTACATTGTATAATGTTGAGAAACCATGAAAAAACCTTCATCGAAAGCCAAAGACATATACTTTAGGGTTTCAAAATTATCAATTACGAAAAATAGTAACATCGTTTCTTTGACTAACCAAAGTCAAGAACTGCATAAAAAATACAGTAATGTGCTAGCACATGGCCTACAAAGGACACAGCCTCACTGTTAAAGCTCTGTACTGATTCATATTTTCTAACAGCAAAAAACATTATGTCTTTCAAGTGTAAATCTCAGTGGTTCAAATAGGCTGTATGATTGGCTGCTACTGAAATTACTTCAAAAAAGCATTTACATGTAAGTACATCAAATTACCACTAAACGTCATTTTAAAAAGCTGGTAACAGTCTAATACAATCATAAAAATTTCATACAAATGTAATTCAAACCATATCAAAAGAAGTGTTTCCAACTCCACATGAAGTATTGCTCTTAAGTTGGATGTAAACTCAAACAATAAGATAAATGTTTGTCAAAAATAATACCAAGAAAAACCCTAGTAGATGCTTTACGATCCTGGATCAACCCAACATAAATCGTTTGAATCCATTATCTCCTCACCATTAATCAATATACATGATTGTAAGCATGAGTTTTAATATTCTATTCTTTTTTGCAGCTTGGATTTTATTGTTGCGGTTAAAATTTGTATCAATAGTAACTATTCGTGGAATGTATTTTGTGTTTATACTTTGTGGTCGGTTACTGTTATAGTAACTGACCACAAAGAACAAACACAAAATACATTCCAAGAATTATTTTGACCACTCATAACAATCATCTTATTTTCACATTAAAAGACAGCTGAGTGAAAAAGTTATCATCTTTATCATCTAAATGCTTCGATAATCAATTATTATAATATAAAAGAAAATTCTAGTCTGTTTTGATTTGGTAATGACACACGATCAGCATAGAATTATGCATACAACTGAACCAGCGGACTATTGTTACGAAATAGATAATTCCTTCAGTCTGAAATCTACTAATGTCAAGTATTTTTTTGGAGGAAACAGTTGAATAGAAAACAAATTTATAACAACATAAAATGAGTATTACTATTTTGCTACATGACAACTCTAATCTAAAACTCCAGAATGTCATAAATTTAAGCCAAACTTAAACCTTCCATCAGTTATAAGGTTATCAAAACATGTCCTTGGAATCTTTTTCATGTAACCATCATTACTTTTACAAATTTTAACAGTTTAACTTGAACATATGATTTTGCTCACTCGTGTCATAACACAGACTGTTAAAAAAATTTTTAAAAAAGAAATAAAGCAAAGATAAACATAGGGCAGAAGATGTAAAATCCAGTTATGACTAAGGATGTTTCAAAAAATTGACAAATGAGAATCAATAGTTTGACACATTTTTGACTTAATACACTGCTAAAGAATTACAAGAACTGCATCAACAATAATAATTATTGTTAAGCATTACCTTTCACTCCAATTTTAAACACTGGGACATTTGGCTACAATACTGACTACTTAACCATCACTTACATGTAGTCATTCAGCAGTTACACCATTAAAACGTATCTCTGCCCAAATCACATTAACAGAGAAGAAGAAAGTACTAACTCTCTTTGATCACAGGAACAGAATCTGTAATATTCAATATTAGTGCATGCATCAACTACCAAAAAGAATGTCACAAAAGACTAGCTGAAGGCATACGACATGCTACAAACAGAAATATTGACGATGTAAACAAAGACAGGACGTTCCTTATTTTCCCACTGATTTATAAACAATCAAAGACTGAAACTTGTAAAACTTAAAATTCTTAAGCAGTATAGCTGGTAATAATTGAGACACAAATATTCATAAAAATTCAAAAGCAATATCAATGTACATAAAACCTTTACTTCTACGAGTATAATTACAATCAGTGGAATGCTGAATGTGTGGACCGGTTCATTTAAATACTGTATATTTCACAATAACAAAAAATAAATTTGAAGCGTGCAATATTCGTTAAAGCACGTAACATCAAGGCAGTGGTGCATAAGTCTAAATATGTTTGGAATGCTCATAAGGAAATCGGAGCGCTGACACACCCATAGTCTAGCTGTTGTGGACATTTTTCTTAAATAAATACAAAAATAATGAATAATGTTTTGTTTAGGCATATGCCTCCATTCTTTGCTACAGATTGTAGGCGCCTGAAAGTGAAAAAAAACTATTACAGGCATTTTACAGTGTACTTTCTTTACAACTTATTGCTGAAAAACTAAAGAACTGTTTTTTAAAATTTTTACAGTTTTAACAAAATTTTCGAGCACATTATCAGGTTGGTTTCATTAGTCCACAAAATATGATAGTCTATTGAACATTTAGTTCAATGAACATGAGATATGAATATTTAGAAACACATACCAAGGAGATGCAAATATCTTGAATGATGGTATTTATTAATATATTGTGCAGCCAATTAAACTGTCCCACCGACAGTTCTCAATTTTTTTACTGAAACTTTGTAAGTTAATTGAAAAGAGATAAATCATCATCATCATCATCATGACTGGTATTTTTTCACACGTCATATATACTGTAAATCTGTTTAGCTTTTGTTTCCTGACATTATTACAACTTTTGTCTTTTAACACATGACTTACATTGGTATACAAAGGAAGGTCTCGTGAGTGGACACCCTTAGAATGCAAAAAAGGTGTCCATCACTGAAGCTGGCCGCTCAGGGAAATGTAAAAATTAAAAAGACATTTTTATTGGAGTTGAGAAAAACAGGGTTTTGTGAAGACGGCCATGAGTAGAGCTGTTCATTTATGAGAGTGTCCGTTAGGAAGGCTTCCACTGTAGTAGAATCATTATATAAACAAAACAATTTAATATAGGACTAAAGTAGTTGGGCTACAAATAACAATCAGTAATTGGACAATGCCTAACTAAATTTTGTCCATGACTGAAAAAATCCTACCAGTCATCAGACATGATGACCAGATGGATAAAATATTATTAAAGACTATAATTTTGCAGCTGAAGATTTGCACAGAAATTAAAGAAAATAAATGTCAACATAACAAACTGTCCCACAAATGCTCTGGTTTGATCGATTAAAGTTGGATTTTCTCCCAGATGTGTGTAAAAAGAAAAAAATGGCAGGCCTGAAAAAGGTGACATTTTTTACTCAACCTGTTGGATTGGGTAGTCTAAACACTGATCCGTGTACAATCATTGTGGTATTTAATTCCATAGGCAAGAAACTGTTTGCTTCAATAATTACTGTCTCACCCCTAATCTCCATAAAGGGTGCCAACAACATGATACCAATAGGTTAATCCAAACCCCCAGGGGGGTTACTCCTGAGTTAAGTGACAAGGTGATCGAAAGTTATTTTTTGGATTCAAAATTTTCCACTCTGAAATATTTTTAGTAGGAAAATTAGGCGAGTATTTTTTTGGTACTGTACGAGCATGCCAGCAGCGTCGCTCTGCGTTATAAAGTACAACCAAACTTGTTTTGTGGATGATTAATATTTGATGAACTCCGGAGTAAGAATATTATGGGCATGGGATTTTTGCGGGGCTTAATGTTTGGTCCTTGAACTTTTTGGGTTTCACTGGAAGCCCTGGCCTACTAAGGATATTTTTAGTTTTTCAGTTTTGACCTCTTTTGACCAACTGCCAGAAGCAACCAGGCCCAAGAGAGCCTGGGAATTAAAACTCCTGTAACCATACATCTAACACTGAGCTTGAATTTGTAATGGAGTAGCACCTTATCGTAAGAGAGGAATATTATTACAGTGTACCAATACAGTTAAATTGTCTTTACTGGGCACTTTCCTAAAAGGGACAAGTAGAGACAGTCCCTCTAGCTCTTCACCCATTTTCTTTAACTCTTTATAAGGCATAATTTTATCATCAAAATTTTATGTATCACAGTTAAATGAAAACATGCCTCAAAAATTGCAGTTTCTCTATTAAGGATAGTATTAATGAACATGAAAATAATCCTGACCTCAAAAAGGATTCAAATGAAAATAGAGAACAAGCTATTTGTGAAGAAATTGATGTCTGGTTCTGTCGAGTTGAAATAGGACATATTTAAGTTACCTTCCAAGGAGACTGAAAATTTTCTTTAAGTAAAGCACAAGAAAGAACTCCCCCATAACCATTTTCTCACTACCTCTCATTCATTTTTTCCCAAACATGTGCTTGTGATTTTTAGCTCCCTTTACCAAAAACAGAGAGCCTGAACAGGACATTAAAACTTTGGAATTGCTTAAACTGTAAGTTTTCACTGGAATAAGTGAGTTCTCATACACATTAGACGTCCCTAAAACCTGTCAACTGATGATACTGTATCACAAAGAGCCATTAAAAACAAATATGGAACAGTGTAATTATTAAAAGGATTAGATTGCAGTACCAACACTGTAGTGAGAAATCTGCATATTTCATTAAAAAATTCACTTCAATTAGCAAAAAAGTAAGATTATTTTGACAGAGACTTCATGTGTTAACAGTTAGTTTAAAATAATTAATATTCAAAGTAAGGTCAGTTATAGACAGGATAATGCCTGTTTTAGTAATCAGATTTCCTGTAAATTCAAATATGGATCAAATATGTGTAAAGTAAAATAAATAACCTTACAACGGTTTAAACTGTAACAAATTAATGTATTGTTTCCTTCCCGAGAATAGCAACAGAACAAAAAATTACTTAAAACTGTTTTGTACCTAAATACTTTCTAATCTTGATAAACCACTATTCACACTGAAAATAACAAACGTACTAGTTATTCAAGAAGCAATTTCACATCGTCATTTTTGCCTCCAAAACCAAGAGAAAAAAATATTGTGATTTTACAGATATTAGCTAAGACAAAACGAAAGTCTTATCAGCGCAGGAAATGTGACGTGTTCCCTTCAAAATTGTTCGCTCTAACAAATTGGTTGTGGAAAGGAAGACAAATTAAAAACTGCAAAACAGAAACCAGAGATTACAAAAGGGAGAGATTCCTGTCATTTTTCTTTTACAAAACATTTAACTTGTGCATAAGGAAAACATGAATAACTAGGAGGAAATATCAGTCGTTCTCGGGAGCACGAGTTCAGAATATTACATGACTCCCACAGTCATTCAACCATGTCTATAAATTTCACTGTTCCTTGCCAAACACAAAGACACTGCAAAAACTCGAAATTGTATAAATATCTTACGCAGTTGGGCCGTTAGTTCAGTTCAGCCATTACCAGGGTTGCCTTACCACGAAAAGTACCCAAACAGTGCAAACAGAACTAACGTTGCCAAGATTCGAGTACCTTAGAATCCTAGATTCTACATCAGAACACACAAACCTCGTCTGACGACGTTAATCCCCCAAAAACATTGTCGAGAATACCTTAATAGAATTAGACTACCGCCGACGTTACTGTGGAATGCGAAAGATTTTAGCACAACATGAACGTAACACAATATTTAAACTCTGCATTCTGTCAGGTAATGGGCACAACATCTTGCAAATTTTGCAATCAACACGGAGCCGCTGATAAGCTTCGCATGTCAATCATGACGGGTGCTGGGAATTTTGTCAGGTATTGATGCACTTGTTCGCTAATGCGTGCTAGCTTCTCGAATATTCTCTTCGATTACTTTATATTCAGCAAACTTCGACGGCCTCGATAAGGGTCCTTCAATACCGACCACTCATTTAAGGAACGTAATTAGGTGAGAAGCATGCTAAAATCGCAGTCAACGCGTCAATAATCTGCGGAAGCTAGCGATCGTTGTCCAAGGAAAACTCGGCTAGTGTTTCATCAAGAATTGAACCAGGAAGGTAACATTATACTCAAAAATCACAAACGTTCATCTCCAATCAGAGATGTATGGTTAGGAAGTTCTATTTATACAAAAGCCGCTAATACGACCGGTGTCGGTCTCTGTGAGTCTATTTTGGATATGGAAATCTACCTAATCGATCTCTACCCACAATTCTGACGACAAAAACACCACAGTAAACAAAGACCGCTAGAGGCGAAATTCTAGAGGATATCAAAGATACCATCATTTCCTTTTTGGGTTTATTGCTACCTAAGGAATCGGTCAAGCTTCTAAAGAAAAAAATATTCTGATTGAGTTACCTTTGAGACAGAAAGTTTCGTTCTGAATTCGCTGCCTCCTTGTAATGTAAAACCCCATGGCGAACCGCCGGACAGGACCACATCAAACGTCTCTTCTGAACTTTTAAACAATCTAGTCATCGTGCGTTATCGATCCCAAGGTAATATCTCGTCTACTGATTTCATGGTGTTTCAATAAAATAGTGGCAAAGGAAGAAACTTCTCTCTGCCGAATAAAGCTCTGAACCGGGAAAAGTATGTGTTATGCAAATTCAAATGCAAATTCGAACTCTATTCTCAACTTGGTTTCCACACACCCTACGTGAAAGCGAGGTCCTGGACTCTGCTGTTCGAGAACAAATTGATGTTACGCGCTTTGTGATTGGTTGGAGAGATTTCTTAACCAATGAAGAGGCTTCTTAGATTGCTGCACATAGTTTGCAAATTCGCGGGAAATGTTGATGTTTGGAGGGAATCGAGCGATTTGTGCTTCTAGTTGAAAGCACTACAGCATCTTTAATTTTAACCTCAAGAACAGATTTGCGTAGTTAAAGGAGAAAGAGAAAAGGGTAATTTTGTTTTATTAAATTAACACGTAGCCAGTCGCTGGAATTGTCGCGGGAGGAACTTGAAAGCGTGGCTGTGATCGAGAAAGTCAGCGAAAATGCCGAAACGAAAAGCCACTGCGAAGGTTGTATCTTCCAGTGAAAAGAACCCACTAAAGGAGGCTAGATTGGAAAATATCACAATATGCAGTCCCTCAAGAACTGGGAAGCGAACAAACTACCTAAGTTGGGATGAGTATTTCATGGCGGTCGCTTTCCTGTCTGCCCAAAGAAGTAAAGATCCCAACTCTCAGGTCGGAGCTTGTGTAGTAAATGGCGACAGGAAGATAGTTGGAATAGGATACAATGGAATGCCGAATGGCTGTAGCGATGACGAGTTACCGTGGGAAAGACATGGAGAAGATGAGTTGGAAACAAAATATCCTTATGGTAAAATCAGTTACTGTACCTTTGTAAGCTAGTGTAGTAATTTGGGGTTGGGTGCAGTCTGTGAATGACACAGATCTGAGACGAGGTTCGGGAGAGGGGTGGAGTTGTTGAGGCGGGGGGGGGATGGGTAAGAAGAACTTGCCTCCTGAGGGGTAGATTTATTGGTTATCGCTGTATTTATTTCTGCTATATAAGGAGTATGAGTATAGGAAGTCTTTTTTAGTTATTTGAGTGTAATCATACAGAATTCTTGTTCTTGTGCAAACAATTACCCTAAACTTCTGCTTGTAAGCTCCTTCTCCCCCACATATAAGTTCCCCACAGTTACCCGTAACCCTTCAAACCCCAACACCAAAATTCAAATTCTCATTTGTTATCTCTATACATTTTCAATAGAGGTAGTGGGGAGAATTTGTTGAAGTATCAATTAGATTCATGTAGTGTGATCATGTCCTTAATTCTCATGACCACTCTGTTTTATAAAGCAGTGATATTACAAGGAGAAATTTGATGCTCATCACCCGTAGGGCTTAAAGGGTTAAGGAGGCCAACTATCTGAAGACAAAAGTATGCATCCGGTTATAAGCCCCCTTTGGTTTGTATTGAAATGAATCGATTTTTATAACATTTTGAAGCTCACTGCTATATAGCTTGTTTTGAAATGTGTTTTAAGTCTAGTTATAAGCCCACTGTTTATAAGCACTTCTAAAACCCCTTACAAAGTTGTATAAGCCCAGAGGTTGTAAGCGAAAGGTTACAGTATTGGCTTTATGCCACACAGTGGCACCCTGTGGTACAACTCTTTAATACAACTGGTACATTATTACAAACCCTTTGTATGATCTGAAATAAAACTTCAGCTTTTTACTTATTCTCAGCCTCGATAATACACCAACAGTATTACAATGACCATCAACCACATTTTGGAGTCCCCGGTCCTATTTTCTCCACCATCAACTCTTCATTAGGGAGCTTAAGCAACCATGACGACGACCACAACAACAACTTCAAAAAAACAATAGGTTTAATGATCAAAACAACAGTTATGCACATGCATCACGCTTTTTAAGACATTTCTTTGAAGTCCACTGCACGATTATGACATGAAACCTCCCAATTTGACGCTTTACAGAGGACATGGAATACTACGATGAATTTCCTTTCATCTTTTTGAGCTTGAGTAAAATCCTTAAGAATTCAACTCCAGGAAAAGTCACCTGCATTTGACATATTGAGCAGATCCAAATAGACGCGATTAAGTTTGAAAGAACGCAAATTCATTTTTTTACTGTCATTTTCACTGCTGTCGTCATCCTTGCTTAAGGTCCCTATTGTTAACCATCATGATGACTGTGACATATCGCTATCATGTCAACTGTCTCTCATCCTTCAGAGAGTGCTTGCTATTTTGTAACTTTCCTTTAAAAATCTCAACCATGCACCAGTTAGCTTGAATGTGTCCCATTCCAGCCAACAAAACTGTTTTTGTCTTTTAGTTTGCCATGCTGAAATGAATGCAATTCTGAACAAGAATGCAGCAGACATCAAAGGCTGTTCCATTTATGTAGCTTTGTTTCCATGCAATGAATGCACCAAATTAATCATTCAGGCAGGGATCAAGGAAGTTATATTCTACTCTGACAAGTATCACAACCAGCCCATTTGTGCGGCTGCGAGGAAGCTTTTGGATATGGCTGGGATCAAATACAGGTGATCATTTTACCATCCAGATCTTTGACATGCTTCAATCCAAGGGGGGCCTTAACCCTTTAAACCCCAAAATCAAAATCTGAATTCTCATTTGATACCCCCTTTCATTTCCTACAGAGGTGTTGGGGAGAGGCTGATAATACATCAAGGAAATTCAACTTGTGTTATGTCCAAATTCTCATGACCACTCCGTCTTACAAATCATTGATATTACAAGGAGAAATTTGATGCTGATCATTCAGGGCTTAAACAGTTGACAAAAGGAGCTGCTCTCAGTTTCAGAAGCATGAAGCACCTAGGGTGATTCCTACCCCCCACCCCCAGAGTTGCTCCATCCTGCATGGTTACCCAAGCAATGTGTCATGAGTACCCATTTATACCATATGCTACCTGACACACATTATGCACTTGTTTCTTGCACCTGCGGATCAAAAACTTCGATCGCATGCATACAGTACAATAATTTTACATGCATAGTGTACAATTCCAGAAAAAAAGAACAACCAAATAGGTTATCTTGCCAAGATTGCAAATATCTTGAGTATGAAGGCTAGATCTTGGCAAGATCTCATGATACTTTGCCTCTATGATCTTGGCAAGATGGTGCCAAGATTTGGCACTTTGCACATCTACATTTAGCAACCCTTGGAAATAAGAACATCTTCCACAATGCTTGGAAGTTGCCAGAACTTCTTTGGCATGGTTGGGAGTTGCCAGAACTTCTTTGGCATGGTTGGGAAGTGCTCAGATTTTTTTGAAAAATTCGGGTAATATGGATACGAAAATCACACACGTCACATAGCAAAGGCAGGAGGTATATTATACAATGATGTGGGTGGTCAGAGACAAAGTGAAACAAAGTTTCTGTAAAGGGAACAATGAAATAACAAGGCTTGAACCTGTACCAGCAGTTTCAAGGTCTAAGAGTTACATGTAACCACAAGAACACTATGCGCCACCCAGACCCACATAGAAGTTAGTCAATAAAACGTTTATTTTGTGAGAAACTGCTGCTATGTGAATAGGATGATGTACAAGAGCTTGGTATTATGTACTACGCTGATAACTATCATCAGCTATAAGGAAGTGATTCAAAAGTTGACCTTACAAATACCAGTGCCTTGTTACAGTCAAAGGCTCACATTGTGAGACTCACTGAAATGCCAGGTCCCTTATTTTAAATCCAGCACCTTAGGGAAAGAATGTTGTAGCCTGCGAAAACATACGTTTCTCCTCGCTGGGAACGTTTCGTACGAAACGTCCCCAGCGACAAAGAGCGAGGAGAAATGGATGTTTTCGCAGGCTAAGAATGTTGACCCTCCACGATAAAAAGAAACAGAAATGAGACCCTGCAGCTCATCACAAATGTTTCTGAAATCTCAACATTAGATCAAAAGTTTTTAAGACCAACAATTCTCTAGGTTCTTTTTACCACCTCTTAACCTTGGCTCTCCCTCTAATTTCAATCTTTTTTCTGTGCCTAATTTCCTTATTCTCTCTGCAGGCAATTCAAACCAAAGAAAAGCAAGATAGAGATCGATTTTACAAGTATTGATGGCACAACTGCAAATGTAGCAAGTTGGTCTGTTTCATCACCTTAATTGGTCTTTAGATTTGCCTGCTAGTTGTTTAGTTCCATAAAATCCACACCTCCTGCCTCGGAAGAAATTCCACTCACCTTCATACCTTTCTTTTTATTGTTTTGGTCTTGGAAACCCCCCTCCTCTGGGAATTTCCAATTCCTTAACTGTGGAAGAGTATGGAGATGTTTCGGAACTACACATTGGCCAAAAAGCCTCTTTTTTAGTGTAAATATTGCCTGTTGTTTATTACCTTAGTCATCTTTATTTTTTAATTCCTAACTTTTTACTAATACCTTCAGTAGAAATTTCCACAATGATTAACATTTTTAATATAAATTTGCAACACAGAAACAAATTGAAATTAGTATTAAAGGACTGTTAAGTCAACATATGGACAACCTCTCGTTGTCTTTTTGTAATTTATTAGTTGAATTTGAATTTTCTTTACCATATTTACCCCTGTACAATACCCACGTTTTTGACCAAAACTTGTTTCAAAATTTGAGGTGCATATACAGTTGAAACCTACATCGTACGGGAGTACTTTCCATAAGTGACAAATGACAAAAGACACTAAATTTTCCAGTCAGAACCCTATATTAGGAGCCTCTCTTAAATTATCACCTCCCTTATCACCTCTCATAAGCCACCATGGTGGCTTTTTGGAATGGTAATTTTTGTAACTCCCTACTGATTAAATTTCTTGTAAATGACCACTTGACAGATGGTCTGATCTCTGTGTTTGCTAAACTATCAAAGAAATTAAGGTGCATAGGTACTGCTGGATTAGTATTATTTGTAATGCTGGTGGCAGTTACCATGATTGAAGATTAAAGATTTATTGTAACTTGGAAACTGTACCTTCAACAGGCCTGTTCCCAGAAGAAAAATAAGACTCTGTGGTTAGATTCTGCTAAGAGCCATATACAGGTGGTAGCTTATAGGAAGCTTAACTGTGTCACAAATGGACATCCAATTTGTTACATTTTATACAATAAGGAACCTTTTAGTACAGTGTTATTATTTTAAACCTTTGCTGATAAATCAGCACTCTACATCTGGTTCCTCACTAGTATTCTCTCCTAACTAATACTATTTTGAAGTTTTACAAAATCTAATATTAGCATTGTTACCTTTGGAAGTGCCGAGTGACGACTGTAGAGTGCACTGTGAAATCAAGGTGATTTTCCAGAATCCAAAGGGCAAAAAAAAGCCCTCAAAACTATTTCATACCTTGGATGCCATTTAGGTGCTAAATTTTCATGACAAATGAATTTACTGGGGTTAGGTTAAATTATAAAAGAAATTTTTCAAATTCTCAAAAATCTGGAAAGAAATTATCAAAAAAGTTTTACACATTCACTTTTGAGATACGCTTTCGTAGCACTATCTCGTTTTATATTTTAACTGTAACAATTTTTTTAAACACCAAATTGGTTGTGATCTGTTACATTTGGGCAGCAATAATTAATTTTTATTTTAATGACTCCATGATGGATTGCATTCTAGAAACGTTTTATGTCTCTCCTTGCTTTTAATTGTCAATGTTTTTCTGTTTTATGAAAATTAGTAGTGAAATATGTATAACGTGTTGGCTTGTTATTGACAAATGTGTCATGATGCATTGACATAGAAAGAGGAAGCAGTGTTCTTGATGACCTTTCTCTATCCTAATGTTGTTAAGTTTGTGAGTGAATTATTAGTTATTGTGCCATGGGATAAGTGCAAATATTGTTTTTTAAGGGGAAAAAATAATAAAAAAGCAATCACAAACTCTACAGTACTCTGGTCTTTTTACTTTTAATAGATCTGGAAACAGACTACGCCCTCTTGATACTACCACCACTCCCAGTGGATTCTTTCAAAATTTCGAGTTGGTGATTATAGGTACAGTTAGTAAAATTTCTCCATGATGAAAATCCAAAACCAAAGCCTATTTATACAGCAGAAATATAATAGTCGTAGCTAATGGCTGAGCAAAATGGAATGGTATCACTTCAGCTTTTATTACAATACAGTCTGCACCACTACACAAAAGCCACAGTAAATTGTTGACACTGTGGACTTCTCTACTGTAGTCTGTTCTCGTGATTTTGTAGGATGTTACATTTTCAACAAAGTTATAAGTCATGCCAACATTCCTTAATAATGAGAGCAAAAAAGAAATAAGAGAGCAAAAATCAGAAAGAAAAAGCTAACTGAACAACACATGCAAAGCTTCAGGAAATTTAAAGCCATCAACATAGGTTGTTTATCCCCCAGGGACCAGTTGTTCAAAAGGTGGGCAATGTTATCCACCGAATAAATCTCTATCCAGTGGTTTCCCTAATGCTTATCTGCTGGATAGTGATTTATCCAGCGGATTGTGCTATTCAAAGTTTGAACAACCAGGGCCAATGGGCTTGGCTTTAAAATAATAAACAAAAAAGGCTGGAAAACAACAATGTCCTCAATTCAAAAAGGTACACAATGTGGTCTGAGTTCAAACAGGGGATGCTTTGGTTATACCTGCAGCTTCATTACAACCTGTACAGCTAAAATGGTTAATATTTTGCTCATGACAAAAAAGTCCTTTCTTGGCTCTTAAAGCAATGGATGTGGTAGCAGTAGTACTAACAGTCATGATTCTAAAATGAACCGTAACAGTTGTTATTGTTTCCAATTCAATGTTTTCTCCTCTTGCTGTCTGAGTCTCCTCTCCTGAAACAGCCACCAAAACAAAAAACAAAAACTGGTTAATGCATACAAGGTGAGTTCACAATAAGAGAATCCTCCTTTTCTCTTGGGCAAAATTGTGTTGCTTCATTTTATAAGGTCATTGTGATTGAAGAACTGGGCAGCACACCCTCAAAAAGAATTCCCTGGAGTACCCCCCTGGATTTACCGGTAGTCTAATTTTTGGAAATAGGTTTTCTTTGGCCAGTTCCTTTTTTTAAGTACTTCAGAGTAAAATATTTTATTGACCAGTTCTGTTAGTCTGTTTGATGTTTTACAGTCAAACCAGGTGAAGCGTTCCCGTCGCTAACGAACTAATAAATTCATTAACGGAAAAATGATTTCGTTTATTGATTCAATAATCCATTAATAAAATGAACAATCCAATATTCATATTTAGCCTTGATTCCATAATCGAATGGTGATTCGATTACTGTTTTTAGAAAAACTACACTTTTTTTTCTCCTTTTTTTCTTAGAGTCGAGTTCGGGAGAGTTCTGAATTTCAAACCCAAACAAACTGTTACATGTACATCATTTTGTTTCCAGTATTCACTGCAACGGACCTGACCTCTTAGGAAACACGATAGTGAAACTAAGGTCAGTGTATGTGCGGTGATTGGTGGATTTCGATCCCCGGCCTTTGTCAGTTTCTTTGCGTTTGCGGTCTGCCTCTTCTAGCTGTTGTTTTGATTAAAGGCAATTACAAACGCAATCGTAAATGGCAGGAAAAGGGAAGCAAATACGATTGAACTCAACAGAGAAGAATAAAGAACAGGTAGATTTTGTTAATAAACCAAATCAACATTTAATTATTGAATCGAGGTCCAATTTGATTGTTGGATTATTCATTTTATGAATGGATTATTGAATCAACAAACGAAATCATTTTTCCATTAATGAATTCATTAGTTTGCTAGTGACGGGAACGCTTGACCTGGTTTGACTGTAATTCCTAACCAACAACAGCATTTTACTCACCCCTCATCTTTCCTCTTGTTTAACATCTAAGGGAAAAAATAAATAATAATAGACTATCCATCAGAATACACTCAGCTAAGGAACCCCAACATTCGGCAAGGATCCGTGAGATTTCATTTTGTTCTTGAAAACCGTTATCCCAAAACAAAACCCCATTCTCCCAGAATGTAGCCTGCATGAGCAGATGCCCTTCTTTGCTTTTGTTTCACGTGCCAGGAAAGTTAATTTTCAGGCGAAGAGAAGCAGGACGTGGCTGTACTGACAATGACAGGGATTTTAGTAAGATTTCAGGTTGCCAGATAAATACTACAAGTAGGCAGGGAATCAAACAGCTAGGGATTTCCTTTGGTTCTATTTTTCTTCTTCTTTCCCATGAAAGTAGCCGGGGACCAGGTTCATAGTAGCCAGGGGAAATCCAAGGTCCCTGGCTGTTGATGACAGCCATGAATGATGTTTAAATGGAACAACATGGGAAAAGAGAAGTGAATGACATTCTTTACAAAAAAAATGGACACTTGACAAAGGACGGACATGGAATTTCCATCTTCAAAGAACCAGGATTTCAGAGGCCAGAGCTATCCAAACATATCGAAAGAAGGCTAGAAGTGATCAGTGAATCAGACTCACAATACAGTGCTCCAAGGCTGGAGCCTCACTTTGGCCACTAGCTGCACAGTGTGACTGTGAGCAACAGATCTTTTATTACTCTTGTTGTCCCAAGTTTAAATCCTCAGGTTTACCATACCTGACTAATTTTCTGCCAATCCCTGTCTAGCTTTGCCTTTTCATCTTTGGGGCCTGCACGCCGTGTTTTACGTCCCTCAGACATCTTGATACCAAACTGAAAGGCAGCTCTGGAAAGAAAAAATAACACGATTGTAGCATTTTGCACTTCACACCGTCAGATATCAGTACAGCTATTGTGAGAAATATACACTACAATAAGCATAAATGAAACTAACAAAGTTGGTGTGAGGCTAACATGCAGCCATGTTGAATAAGCAAGACAGGTAGCTAACAGAAGAATGGAAATATAAGCACATGAAGAAGAGCTCGGTGCATGCCAAGGGAGACCACCCAATTAAAAGGCCAATCAGAACACAGGATTTTTTTCATCTTGCTACTCGTGGAGCCAGATATTATGATAATCACTATCACTATCTTCGAGAGGGGATCAATGAACCTGGATGAAAAGCATCATTAGCCATTTTGTCTTCACACCCATTAAAACGTCACTTAACAGCAAGAAGCAGTCTGAGAAAAGTTAACATTTCTCTGAGGAATTTACTAACTTAAGGACATTTTACCATTAATCAAACACGTTGACTCACTTAGGAAGGGCTTCTCTGCTTTCCATGTAACTGTGGTAGTCTTCCTCTGTTTCAAAATCCCAACGTTTGATGGGACCTTTCTTGTTACCCTGCATGTAGATGATTGTATGGAATCAAAAGCAATGAACCGCCTTAGTGCATAAAACTATAATAATAAAATAATATTATGCATATTAGTAACAAACAGTAATAATAACAATAATAATAATATTAATAATAATATAATAATAATATAAATCTTTGAGCTTTTTTCCAAGAAATTATATGAAAGAAAAATAAACACTAATGATAAATAAATAAACAATAAACCAATAACTGAACTGAAACATTTCACTCAATCAACATGAACAAAACAAAAAACAATATTAATTAAAATTATACCAGGAACTCGAAAAATATTCCTGGTATAATTTTAAATAAATAAATAAAAGAAATGAGTGACACGTGATCACTACAAAAGCCAAAGCAACAAAGTAAAATAATGTACTAACAAATACTCGTGAATAGTATTTTCGGCCTTGTAAAGTTCCAACCACAATATCCTGTTATCAATTAAAGGAACCATGTTGAGGCTCAAAAGTCAATGGAATAAAGACGTTTCATTAAATTTGACAGTTTAATGAAAGATAATCTTACTAATGATAACTTCAAAAGTGAAAAAAAAAGCAAAAATGAAAGTCATTCATTTGACATTAAACAGATATTGATATTTTTGTGATTGATGGATGAAAATGAAATTTCATTTTACTAGATAAAGTATAGAAATCTGCTCAGGAGTATAATAATCAAGTCCAATTTAAGTGATAATAATATATTGAAAAATGCTGGTGGCAACCCCATGCCATGTTATATATATATACTATAAAATTATTATGTATTAATCATTTCAGAGATCCCTTTAGATGCCCTGAAGTGTTTTCTTTGATAACAAGAGAATTACACTGATGCTACTACCAATGAAGACACTTACCAAATCCATTTTACTGTAGTCAGCTTCTTCATCACTGTCATATGGCACGTCAGCAGCACTGAAAGAAAAGCAACACAACAAAATATTTTCTATTTGAAAAGGTGCACAGATTAAGACAAAACACAAAACCTGAAATGTGCCAATTATTGGTACACTTCAGTTCAGTTTTGTGTGTCTCACCACCACTACCAAGTCCTAACTAGGTATGAATAAAACATCATACTTCCATATTTTCCTTGACTTAGTCTTATAATAGATTAGACCATTGAATACTGCAAGTCTAGATTGTCAATTTGTTTAAGGCTTACATCCCCAAGGGGGTACTCCAGATGTCAAGTGATGGATTGATCGAATGGGGGCAAAAATCAAAACCCAAACAAATCCTGCGAGCTTCAAACAAAACCCCCAAAAATCCCTGGACCAAAATTTAAACCCCAAAAATCCCATGCTGAATTTCCCAGCCATAAAAATTTCCAGAGGAACTACGCAGCCGGGATATGCAGGAACTATGACGAATCTTCAGATTGTTTTGGATACCCCAAAAAATCCTTACTTAAATCAAGCTAACCAAAAAAATACTTGCCAAAATTTTCCTACCCCAAAAAATCCCGAAACTGAAAATTTAAAACCCCAAAAAATCCTTAGATCATCCCTGTCACTTGAAATCCAGAGTACCCCCCCTCCTCCGGGCTTAAGTCACACTGTGAATGCCAACCGAGGAGTAAAAAAAATATGAGAGAAGGGGAAAGGAGGGATATAATAGACTGCATTTAGTAGACAATAAATCCCCGGCTAGTGACGTCTGAAAAACAGCACCAAGATCTTTGTTCAAATAACCAAAATTGTGTTTTCAATTTCCCTTCAACCTGAATAGCAAATCGATAATGGCTTTTTTAATAGGCCAGTCCAGAGGTTCAATTTAAAATGTGTTGCAGCCTGGGCTTAAACATTTCAGAAAGTTTATGCCAATGGTAGAGTAAATGGAACCTATGTACCCTACACCCTGTGGACTATGCGCAATGTATGTAGGCAGAAGTTCAGTGGTCACAACACCTAATGGCCGGTCCCCCTAGGCTTTGGTAACAAGTGATGTTTCTTACCCTGGGTAACACTCTGAATAACTGTCTGGAATATAATTGACATCCTTCACCTTCCGAGAGCCTCGGTCCTTTTTTCTTCGTCTTTCACACGGTTAAGTTCAACAACTAAGACGTTTTTCATAGCTCAGATTTATTTCCATGTGACTGTCAGTGCAGTTTTCATCAAGTACTAAACATTTAATGAAATAAAAAAATATTCTAGTAACAATCCCTTTAGAAGAGACACTGGAAGGCGGAGATAATAATTTGTAGTATTATGTTAAAGTTACATGTACATGTCTGTAGGTTTTTTCCCACAAACCACTTTAAGTGTAAGGCTAATGCAAGCACTATTTCAAAGGATACTTGGGGTCAACTGAATCCCATGCAGCCCTCTCCTCCATGTGGTGCTGCAAAGACAATACAAATAATAACCAAAAAATATACAAATTTTCATTCAGATTTCATTTACAAAAAGAATGGTTTTTCAACTGATTGGACAGCTGATAACATTACGTGTATTTCAACTGATAAATTTCAATATGCTTCGAAGTTTCAATTAAAATTATCTCCCAGCCAATTAAATTTGGCATTGACATTTTTGCTTGAGAACAACTGCAATGCCAGTGTTGCTCCCCGATCTTCTTTTGACTTATTGAGAAATGAGAATCTTGGGAAAAGACATCAAGAAATTTATTGCACATGCCTTCTGATTGTTGTTGTACAAAAAACTGATTTGTTAACTTTCTTGACTAAATACTATTTCAGACAAGCAGGACCCCTGTCCTTCCTTCACTTGTAAAAAATGTAGTAGGGTAGTTTGTGACACTTTAGATGAGGTAGGTATAATGCTCAAAACCAGCCCACACCAGTCGCTCAATAACACACATGTGGTAGAAGCTGTCTAGTTTGTCTTGCTGCAAAAAAGGGTTAGTTATGGTGGCTATGTCTTTGAGGAGAACTTACCTTTTTAGCAAAAGTCTGTGTTACTGACTTGGCAAACTCTTCAGCAGAAACATCTAAAATTTAGAAGATTGAACAAATATGCAAAGAAAGTCATGTAACTGTTCAGCAGCGGTAGATAATAGAGAATCATTCTTTCTCTAGTACAAGAAATGAGGGACTGACATAGAATTTTACTGGCTCTAAAAGCCAATTAGATGGATAGATCGCACTTGTGTGATAGACTCCATTCTGTACAGGATATTAATGACCAAAATTGACCAATCACAGATTAAGAAATGACTTAGCTGCGCATAAACAGACTTAACATATTGTTTACATTCTTTGAGTGGTATTATTATCTAACCATAGTGTGAGGAAGTGCGCAAACTCACCTTTCTTATTGAACTGTGCCTGCAAAGAACGAGCAGAACCAAAAAAACATCAGCAATGAAATCAAAAATGGAAAAAAAACTGTCACATTCAACTTGGTACTTTTAAAACAAACTGCGTGTTAGTGCTAACCTCTTCATCTCCACCTGCAGATGACTTATCAAAGTAGCTTGAGGAGCTCTTGGATTTCTTCCTGTCTTTTTCTCTCTCTCTTTCTTTCGCCTTTTCTTTCTTTTCATATTCTTTTGTACTCTCTGTAGGATCATAATCCCCAATGTCTCCAAAGATACTGGAAAAAATATAGCCATAACAAAATTGATAAAATACTTAAGACTGTAAGAATAGAATACAGTAAAACGCTTCCCACAATAGTATTGTTAGCCGTCACAATAATATCATTGTGACTGCTAACAGTTAAAATAATGAATCTAACAATTGGTAATAATTCACATATTTGAATACTAATTATTTTTTTGTGGAAATGTACCTGTCATCAGCTCCAGGACCACGTATCTTCTGTCCCTGCTTTTCACTCTTGTCTTTCTCTTTACCTGAAGGCCACGATTCATACCATTCCATGTTAATCATCAATAAAAAATGCAGTTGAATTGTTTGCGGGTTACAGGGAATAGAACTTTCCATGGTTTTTTCAACTTTTGACATGTACAAGTTAGGCCTGTTTCAAACATCATGCTACTGTTGTGCCAAACTCAACTGATTGAAGTAAATTTGACTTTAGCACAGCAAGCCTTGCCCTGCTATGCGGCAGTAGCTTGACTTGGTTTCAAACGTCGTGCGGAACTTAATAAATTATAAATACATTAGAATATATTTAAAAGTTTTCAAAAAATTCTACTTTCGCACTTTTTTAATAAAAAGATTTTGCATAAAAAAATTAATAACATGTCAAATTTTGGACCAAAACCATGGACTATCCCCTTTGGAAAAATTTGAATTCTGAAACTTTTTAAAAACCGATGTTTTTATAGTCCATCAAGGCTTCTTTTCTATATAAAACATCGAGAAATCATTTTTTCACAATTTATTTTCATGATCTATTACATGGGAATACAGGGGGTTACAAGGGGTGACAGGGGGTTACAAAGCGTTACAACAGGTTACAGGGGGTTACATGGGGTTACAAGGGGTGACAACGGGTTAGAGGGGGTGACAACGGGTTACAGGAGGTTACAAGGGGTTACACCGGGTTACAGGGGGTGACAAGGGGTTCAGGGGGTTACAAAGGATTACAGGGGTTACGAAGGGTTACAGGGGGTGACAAAGAGTTACGGTTACAGGGAGTTACAAGGGGTTACAGGGGATCACAAGGGGTTACATGGGGTGACAAGAACACTGGGTTACAAGGGGTTACAGGGGATGACAAGGGGTTACAAGGGGTTACAGAGAGTTACAAGGGGTTACAGGGGGGTGACAAGGGGTTACAGGGGGTTACAAAAGGTTACAGGAGGTTACAAGAGGTTACAGGGGGTGACAAGAAATTACAGGGGGTGACAAAGGATTTATTCTGGGTTACAAGAGGTTAAGGGCCCATCCTAAAAACAGAAAAAGAGGAATAAAGGGTCACAGCCTACAGAGGTTACACCCCACCCCAACCACAAAAACTCCAATAAGAGGGTAATAAGAGATTTAAGACGGAGTTTTCAGAGCACTATTTTACAGAAACCTTGCTTTGTTGCATCTTTCACTTTTTGTAATTAGCATTTACTTTTTGCTGCAAAATATACTACAACGCGTTACTGAGAATGGTGAAAATTTAATAAGCGTAACAAAACCTCGAATACAGAGGCCACCCTCAAGGTCAAAAAAAAAGCAATTACATGGGGTTACAGGGGTTAATCGAATACACGGTACAAGGGGTACAAGGGGTTACAGGGGGGTTACAAGGGGGGGTTACAGGGGGTGACAACGGGTTACAAGAGGTTACAGGGGGTGACAAGGGGTTACAGGGGGTTACAAGGGGTTAGAGGGGGTGACAAGGGGTTACAGGGGGTGAAAAGGGGTTACACAAAAGGATGACAGAGGGTTCCAAGGGGGTTACAGGGGCTAGGGGGGGGGACAAGGGTTACAGGGGGTACAAGGGGGTTACAGGGGTTTACAAGGGGTTACAAGGGGGGGTGACAGAGGGTTACAAGGGGTTACAGGGGTTACAAGGGGTTACAGGGTTACAAGGGGTTACAAGGGGTGACAAGGGTTACACAAGGGTTACAGGGGTTGACAAGGGTTACAGGGGATGACAAGGGTTACAAGGGGTTACAGGGGGTACAAGGGGTTACAAGGGTTACAAAGGGGTTACAAGGGGTTACAAGGGGTTACAGGGGTTACAGGGGTTACAAGGGGACAAGGGGTTTACAAGGGGTTACAGGGGGTTACAAGGGGTTACAGGGGTTACAAGGGGGGGGATGACAAGGGGTTACAAGGGGTTACAAGGTGACAAGGGGTTACAGGGGGGGGGTTACAAGGGTTACAGGGGGTGACAAAAAGGGTTACAGGGGGTACAAGGGGTTACAAGGGGTACAGGGGATGACAAGGGGTACACAGGGTTACAAGGGGGTTACAAGGGGTTACAGGGGGTTACAGGGGTGACAAGGGGTTACAGGGGTTACAAGGGGTTACAAGGGGTTACAGGGGGTGACAAAGGGGTTACAGGGTTACAGGGGGTGACAAAGGGGTTACAGGGGGTGACAAGGGGTTACAGGGGTTACAAGGGGTTACAGGGGTTACAGGGGGTTACAAAGGGTTACAAGGGTTACAAGGGTTACAAAGGGGTTACAAGGGTTACAAGGGGACAAAGGGCAGGGGGTTACAAGGGGTTACAGGGTTACAAGGGGTTACAAGGGGTTACAAGGGGTTACAAGGGGTTACAAGGGTTACAGGGGTTACAAGGGGTTACAGGGGGGGTGACAAGGGGTTACAGGGGGTACAAGGGGTTACAAGGGGGGGTTACAACAAGGGGTACAAAGGATGAACAAGGGGGGGTACAAGGGGTTACAAGGGGTTACAAGGGGTTACAAGGGGTTACAAGGGGTTACAAGGGTTACAGGGGTTACAAGGGGTTACAAAGGGGTTACAAGGGGTTACAGGGGGTTACACAGGGTTACAAAGGGGTTACAAGGGGTGACAAGGGGTTACAGGGGTTACAAAGGTTACAAGGGGTTACAAGGGACACAGGGGTTACAAGGGGTTACAAGGGTTACAGGGGTGACAAGGGGTTACAGGGGGTGACAAGGGGTTACAGGGGTTACAGGGGATTACAAGGGGTTACAAGGGGTTACAAGGGGTTACAAGGGGTTACAGGGGGTTACAAAGGGGTACAACAAGGGGTTACAGGGGTGACAAACAAGGGGTTACAGGGGATGACAAGGGGTTACAGGGGTTACAAGGGGTTACAAGGGGTTACAGGGGACAAGGGGTTACAAAGGGGACAAGGGGTTACAGGGGGGGTGACAAGGGGTACAAGGGGTTACAAGGGGTTACAGGGGGTTACAAGGGGTTTACAAGGGGTTACAAGGGGGGGTGACAAGGGGTTACAAGGGGTTACAAGGGGGGATTACAAGGGGTTACAGGGGTTACAAGGGGTTACAAGGGGTTACAAGGGGTTACAAGGGGGGGTACAGGGGGGGACAAAAGGGGTTACAAGGGTTACAAGGGGTTACAGGGGGTGACAAGGGGTTACAAGGGTTTACAAACAAGGGGTTACACAGGGGTTACAAGGGGGTACAAGGGGTTACAGGGGTTACAAGGGGTTACAAGGGGGGATACAAGGGGTTACAAGGGTTACACAAGGGGTTACAACAAGGGTTACAAGGGGTTACAAGGGGTGACAAGGGGTGACAAGGGGTTACAACAAGGGGTTACAAAGGGGTTACAAGGGGTTACAAGGGGTTACAGGGGTGACAAGGGGTTACAAGGGGTTACAAGGGGGGTTACAAAGGGTTACAAGGGGGTTACAAGGGGGGGGTTACAAGGGGTTACAGGGGTTACAAGGGGTTACAAGGGGGTTACAAGGGGTGACAAGGGGTTACAAGGGTTACAAGGGGGTACACAGGGTTACAAAGGGGTTACAGGGGGTGACAAAAGGGGTTACAGGGGTTACAAGGGGTTACAAGGGGTTACAGGGGTGGGGTAAAGGGGTTACAGGGGGTTACAAGGGGGGGTTACAGGGGATGACAAGGGTTACAAGGGGTTACAGGGGGGGTTACAAGGGGTTACAAGGGGTTTTTAAGGGGTTACAGGGGTTACAAAGGGGGGGGTTACAAGGGGTTACAGGGGGTGACAAGGGGTTACAGGGGGGGGTGACAAGGGGGTTACAAGGGGTTACAGGGGTTACACAAGGGGTTACAGGGGGACAAGGGGTTACAAGGGTTACAAGGGGTTACAGGGGGGTGACAAGGGGTTACAACAAGGGTTACAAGGGGTTACAGGGGGTTACAAAGGGTTACAGGGGTTACAAGGGGTTACAGGGGTGACAAGGGGTTACAGGGGGTTACAAGGGGTTACAAGGGGTTACAGGGGATGACAAGGGTTACAGGGGGTTACAAGGGTTACAAGGGGGTTACAGGGGGTTACAAGGGGTTACAGGGGGTGACAAGGAATTACAAGGGTTACAACGGTTACAAGGGGTTACAAAAGGGGTTACAAGGGGTGACAAGGGGGGGTGACAAGGGGTTACAGGGGGTTACAAGGGGTTACAGGGGGGTACAAGGGGGATTACAAAGGGTTACAAGGGGTTACAAGACAAGGGTTACAAGGGGTTACAAGGGGGGTTAAGGGGTTACAAGGGGGGGGTGACAAGGGGTTACAGTTGGTGACACAGGGTTACAAGGGGTTACAAGGGGTGACAAGGGGATACAAGGGGTTACACACAAGGGGTTACAGGGGGATGACAAGGGGTTACAGGGGGTTGACAAGGGGGGGTTACAAGGGGTTACAGGGGGTGGGTTACAAGGGTTACAGGGGGTGACAAGGGGTTACAGGGGGTTACAAGGGGTTACAAGGGGGTTACAAGGGGTTACAAGGGGTTACAGGGGTTACAAGGGACAAAGGGGTTACAAGGGGTTACAAAGGGGTGACAAGGGGTTACAGGGGGTTACAAGGGGTTACAAGGGGTTACAAGGGGTTACAAGGGGTTACAAGGGGTTACAGGGGGGGTTACAAGGGGTTACAGGGGGTGACAAAAGGTTAAGGGGACAAAGGGTTACAAAGGGGTTACAAGGGGTTACAAAAAAAGGTTACAGGGGTGACAAGGGTTATGACAAGGGGTTACACAGGGGGGGTTACAGGGGGTGACAAGGGGTTACAGGGGTTACAGGGGGTTACAAGGGTTACAGGGGATGACAAGGGGTTACAGGGGTGACAAGGGGGTTACAGGGGGTTACAAGGGGTGACATGGGGTTAGAAGGGGTTACAGGGGGTGACAAGGGGTTACAGGGGATGACAAGGGGTTACACAGGGTTACAAGGGGGGGGATGATGACAAACACAGGGTTACAGGGGGGTTACAAGGGGTGACAAGGGGTTACAAGGGGGGTACAAGGGGTTACAAGGGGTTGACAAGGGGTTACAAGGGGGGGTGACAAGGGTTACAAGGGGTTACAGGGGTTACAAGGGGTTACAGGGGATGACAAGGGTTACAGGTTACAAAAGGTTACAAGGGGGGGACAAGGGGTTACAGGGGTGACACAAGGGGTTACAAGGGGGTGACAAGGGGTTACAGGGGGTGACAAGGGGTTACAGGGGACAAGGGGGTTACAAAGGGGTGACAAGGGGTTACAAGGGGGTACAGGGGGTGACAAGGGGTTACAAGGGGTTAGAAAGGGTAACAAGGGGTTACAGGGGTGACAAGGAATTACAAGGAGTTACAAAGGGTGACAAGGGGTTACAGGGGGTGACAAGGGGTTACAAGGGGTTACAAGGGGGTTACAGGGGTTACAAGGGTTACAAGGGGTTACAACAGGGTTACAAGGGGTTACAAGGGGGACAAGGGTTACAGGGGTGACAAGGGGTTACAGGGGGTGACAAGGGGTTACAGGGGGTGACATGGGGTTACAAGGGGTTACAGGGGTGACAGGGGGTGACAAGGGGTTACAGGGGGTTACAAGGGGTTACAGGGGTGACAGGGGGGTGACAAGGGTTACAGGGGGTGACAAGGGGTTACAAGGGGATTACAATGACAAGGGGTTACAGGGGTGACAAGGGTTACAAGTTACAGGGGGTTACAAGGGGTTATGACAAGGGGTTACAGGGGGTGACAAGGGGTTACAGGGGTGACAAAGGGGTTACAGGGGGGGGCTAAAGGGGGGACAAGGGGTTACAGGGGGTGACAAGGGTTCTAAGGGTTACAGGGGGTGACAAGGGGTTACAGGGGGGGTGACAAGGGGTTAGGGGGTGACAAGGGGTTACAGGGGTGAAAAGGGGTTACAGGGGGTGACATGGGGTTACAGGGGGGTGACAAGGGGTTACAGGGGTTACAAAGGGGGTACAGGGGTGACAAGGGGTTACAGGGGGTTACAAGGGGTTACAGGGGTTACAAAAGGGATGACAAAGGGGTTACAAAAGGGATGACAAGGGGTTACAGGGGTGACAAGGGGTTACAAGGGGATGACAAGGGATTACACAGGGTTACAGGGGATGACAAGGGGTTACAAGGGGTGAAAAGGAGGGGTACAGGGGTTACAGGGGGGGGGGATTACAAGGGGTTACAGGGGTGACAAAGGGGTTACAGGGGTGACAAAGGGGTTACAAAGGGGTTACAGGGGTGACACAGGGTTACAAGGGGTTACAGGGGATGACAAGGGATTACACAGGGTTACAGGGGATGACAAGGGGTTACAGGGGTGACAAGGGTTACAAGGGGTTACAAGGGGGGGGTTACAGGGGTTACAAGGGGTTACAAGGGGTGACAAGGGGTTACAGGGAGTGACAAGGGGTTACAAGGGGGGGGTGACAAGGGGGGGTTACAGGGGGTGACAAGAGGTTACAGGGGGTGACAACGGGTTACAGGGGGTTACAGGGGGTTACAAGGGGTTACAAGGATGACAAGAGGGGTGACAAGGGGTTACAAGGGATTACAAGGGGTTACAGGGGTGACAAGGGGTTACAGACAAGGGTTACAAGGGGTTACAGGGGTTACAAGGGGTTACAGGGGTGACAAGGGGTTACAAGGGGTTACACAGGGGTTACAGGGGTGACAGGGGCTGACAGGGGGTGACAAGGGGTTACAGGGGGTTACAACAAGGGGTTACAAGGGGTTACAGGGTTGACAGGGGTTACACGGGGTTAGAAGGGGTTAGAAGGGGTTAGAGAGGGTTACACGGGGCTACAGGGGATGACAAGGGGTTACAGGGGGTGACAAGGGGTTACAGGGGGTTACAAGGGATGACAAGGGGTTACAGGGGATGACATGGGATTACACAGGGATACGGGGGATGACAAGGGGTTACAGGGGGTGACAAGGAGTTACAGGATAGGATAGGATAGGACAGGATAAGTGCTTTATTATCAACAGAGCGCCTACAAACACATGTGTTTACAATGATAACAAAGATTTTCGTGCAACAATTACAGACGTGTACATTTGTAAAATGGGGTTACAGGGGGTGACAAGGGGTTACAGGGGGTTACAAGGGATGGCAAGGGGTTACAAGGGGTTACAGGGGGTGACAAGGGGTTACAGGGGATGACAAGGGATTACACAGGGTTACAGGGGATGACAAGGGGCTTCAAGGGGTGAAAAGGAGTTACAGGGGGTTACAAGAGGTCACAGGGGGTGACAAGGGGTTAGAGGGGGTGACAAAGGGTTAGAGTGGGTGACACAGGGTTACAAGGGGTTACGGGGGATGACAACGGATTACACAGGGTTATGGGGGATGACAAGGGGTTACAGGGGGTGACAAGGAGTTACAAGGGGTTACAGGGGGTTACAAGAGGTTACAGGGGGTGACAAGGGGTTACAGGGGTGACAAGGGGTTACAAGGGGTTACAAAAAGGGGTTACAAAACAAACAAGGGTTACAGGGGGGGGACAAGAGGGTTACAGGGGGTTACAAACAAGGGTTACAAGAGGGGGTTACAGGGGTTACACAAGGGGTGACAAGGGGGGGGGATTACACAAGGGGTTCAAGGGTTACAAAAAGGGTTACAATTACAAGGGGTTACAGGGGGTGACAAGGAGTTACAACAAGGGTTTCAGGGGGTTACAAGGGGTTAAGGGGTTACAGGGGTGACAAGGGGTTACAGGGGGTTACAGGGGGTGACAAAGGGGTTACAGGGGGTTACAAGGGGGGTGACAAAGGGGGGGGTACAGGGGTTACATAAGGTTACAGGGGTTACAAGGGGTTACAAGGGTTACAGGGGTTACAAGGGGTTACAGGGGATGACAAAACAAAGGTTACAGGGGGTGACAAGGGGTTACAGGGTTACAAGGGGTTACAAACAAGGTTACAGGGGTTGACAAGGGGTTACACAGGGATACAGGGGATGACAAGGGGGTTACAGGGGTGACAAGGGGTTACAGGATAGGATAGGATGTGACAGGATACAGGGGGGTTATTATCAACAGGGGCCTACAAAACACAAGGGGTTACAATGGGGATAACAAAGGGTTTTCAAGGGCAACAATTACAGACGGGGGGTTACATTTGGTTAATGGGGTTACAGGGGGTGACAAAGGGGTTACAGGGGGGTTACAAGGGATTACAAGGGGACAACAAGGGGTTACAGGGGGTGACAAGGGGTTACAGGGGATGACAAGGGATTACACAGGGTTACAGGGGATGACAAGGGGTTACAGGGGGTGACAAGGAGTTACAAGGGGTTACAGGGGGTTACAAGGGGTTACAGGGGGTGACAAGGGGTTACAGGGGGTGACAAAGGGTTACAGTGGGTGACACAGGGTTACAAGGGGTTACAGGGGATGACAAGGGATTACACAGGGTTACGGGGGATGACAAGGGGTTACAGGGGTGACAAGGAGTTACAAGGGGTTAGAGGGTTAGGGGTTACAAGAGGTTACAGGGGGGGGGTGACAAGGGGTTACAGGGGGTGACAAGGGGTTACAGGGGGGTTACAAGGGGTTACAAGGGGTTACAGGGGGTGACAAAGGGTTACAAAGGGTTACAGGGGTGACAAGGGGTTACAAGGGGTTACAGGGGTTACAAGAGGGGTTACAGGGGTGACAAGGGGGTTACAAGGGGTTACAGGGGTTACAGGGGTTACAAGGGGTTACAGGGGTGACAAGGGGTGACAAGGGGTTACAAGGGGTTTTAAGACAAGGGGTTACAGGGGGGGGTGACAAGGGGTTACAGGGGTGACAAGGGGTTACAAGGGGGTTACAAGGGGGGGTTACAAGGGGTTACAGGGGGTGACAAGGGGTTACAGGGGGTGACAAGGGGTTACAGGGGGTTACAGGGGGTGACAAGGGGTTACAAGGGGTTACAGGGGGTGACAAGGGGTTACAGGGGGTGACAACATGGGATTACAAGGGGTTACAGGGGATGACAAGGGGTTACAGGGGTGACAAGGGGTTACAAAAGGGGGGGGTTACAGGGGGTTACAAGGGTGAGGGGTTACAGGGGGTGACAAGGGGTTACAGGGGGTGACAAGGGGTTACAGGGGTTACAAGGGTTACAGGGGTGACAAGGGTTACAGGGGTTACAAGGGGGGACAAGGGGTTACAGGGGTTACAAGGGGCTTACAGGGGATGACAAAAGGGGTTACAGGGGGTTACAGGACAAGGGGGTTACAGGGGTTACAAGGGGTGACAAGGGTTACAGGGGTTACAGGGGTTACAGTGACAAGGGGTTACAGGGGTGACAAGGGGATACAAGGGTTACAAGGGGTTACAAGGGTTACAGGGGGTGACAAGGGGTTACAGGGGTTACAAGGGGTTACAAAAGGGGTTACAGGGGTGACAAGGGGTTTAAAGGGGGTGACAAGGGGTTACAGGGGGTTACAAGGGGTTACAGGGGGGTGACAAGGGGTTGGGGGGGGTGACAAGGGGTTACAGGGGGTGACAAGGGGTTACAGGGGGGGTTACAGGGGTTACAACAGGGGGGTGACAAAGGGATTACAAGGGGTTACAAGGGTTACAAGGGGTTACAGGGGGGGTTACAAGGGGTTACAGGGGTGACAAGGGGTTATTACAGGGGGGGTTACAAGGGGTGACAAAGGGGGTTACAGGGGATGACAAGGGGTTACAGGGGGTTACAGGGGATGACAAGGGGGTTACAGGGGTTAGGGGTGAAGGGTTACAGGGGTTACAAGGGGTTTACAGGGGGTTACAAGGGGTTACAGGGGGTGACAAGGGGGGATACAAGGGGTGACAAGGGGTTACAGGGGGTGACAAGGGGTTACAGGGGGTGACAAGGGGTTACAGGGGTGACATTACAGGGGTTACAGGGGTTACAGAGGTTACAAGGGGACTTACAGGGGATGACAAGGGGTTACAGGGGTGACAAGGGGTTAGGGGTTAGGGGTTACAAGGGATGACAAGGGGTTACAAGGGGTTACAGGGGTGACAAGGGTTACAGGGGGTCACAAGGGATTACACAGGGTTACAAGGGATGACAAGGGGTTACAGGGGGACAAGGAGTTACAAGGGGTTACAGGGGGTTACAAGAGGATACAGGGGGTGACAAGGGGTTACAGGGGGTGACAAGGAGTTACAAGGGGTTACAGGGGATGACAAGGGGTTACAGAAGGTTACACGTGGTTACAGGGGGTTACAAGGGTTTACAGAAGGTTACAAAGAATGACAAGGGGTTAGAAGGGGTTACAGGGGGTGACAAGGGGTTACAGGGGATGACAAGGGATTACACAGGGTTACAGGGGATGACAAGGGGCTTCAAGGGGTGAAAAGGAGTTACAGGGGGTTACAGGGGGTTACAAGAGGTCACAGGGGGTGACAAGGGGTTACAGGGGGTGACAAAGGGTTACAGTGGGTGACACAGGGTTACAAGGGGTTACAGGGGATGACAAGGGATTACACAGGGTTATGGGGGATGACAAGGGGTTACAGGGGGTGACAAGGAGTTACAAGGGGTTACAGGGGGTTACAAGAGGTTACAGGGGGTGACAAGGGGTTACAGGGAGTGACAAGGGGTTACAGGGGGTTACAAGGGGTTACAAGGGGTTACAGGGGATGACAAGGGATTACACAGGGTTACCGGGGATGACAAGGAGTTACAGAAGGTTACAGGGGGTTACAGGGGGTGACAAGGGGCTACAGGGGGTGACAAGGGGTTACAGGGGGTGACCACGGGTTACAGGGGGTGACCAGGGGTTACAGGGGGTTACAACGGATTACAAGGGGTTACAGAGGGTTACAAGGGGCTACAGAGGATGACAAGGGGTTACAGGGGGTGACAAGGGTTTATAGGGGGTTACAAGGGGTGACAAGGGGTTAGAGGGGATGACAAGGGATTACATAGGGTTACAGGGGATGACAAGGGATTACAGGGGGTTACAAGGGACGACAAGGGGTTACAGGGGGTGACAAGGGGTTACAGGGGATGACAAGGGATTACACAGGGTTACAGGGGATGACAAGGGGTTACAAGGGGTGACAAGGAGTTACAGGGGGTTACAAGAGGTTAAAGGGGGTGACAAAGGGTTACAGTGGGTGACACAGGGTTACAAGGGGTTACAGGGGATTACAAGGGATTACACAGGGTTATGGGGGATGACAAGGGGTTACAGCGGGTGACAAGGAGTTACAAGGGGTTACAAGAGGTTACAGGGGATGACAAGGGGTTACAGGGAGTGACAAGGGGTTACAGGGGGTTACAAGGGATGACGAGGGATTCCACAGGGTTACGGGGGATGACAAGGGGTTACAGCGGGTGACAAGGAGTTACAAGGGGTTACAGGGGGTTACAAGAGGTTACAGGGGGTGACAAGGGGTTACAGGGGGTGACAAGGGGCTACAGGGGGTGACAAGGGGTTACAGGGGGGGAGATGGGGTTACAGGGGTGACATGGGGTTCTGGGGGGGTTACAAGGGGTTAGAAGGGGTTACAGAGGGTTACAAGGGGGTACAGGGGATGACAAGGGGTTGCAGGGTGTGACAAGGGGTTAGAGGGGTTACAAGGGATGACAAGGGGTTACAAGGGATGACAAGGGGTGACAAGGGGTTACAAGGGGTTAGAGGGGGTGACAAGGGGTTACAGGGGATGACAAGGGATTACACAGGGTTACGGGGGATGACAAGGGGTTACAGGGGGTGACAAGGGGTTACAGGGGGTGACAAGGGGTTACAGGGGGTGACAGGGGGTTACAGGGGGTGACATGGGGTTACAGGGGGTTACAAGGGGTTACAGAGGGTTACAAGGGGCTACAGGGGATGACAAGGGGTTACAGGGTGTGACAAAGGGGTTACAGGGGTTACAAGGGATGACAAGGGGGGTTACAAGGGGTTCAGGTTACAGGGGTGACAAGGGGTTACAGGGGATGACAAGGGATTACACAGGGTTACGGGGGATGACAAGGGGTTACAGGGGGTGACAAGGAGTTACAAGGGGTTACAGGGGGTTACAAGAGGTTACAAGGGGTTACAAGGGGTTATAGGGGGTGACAAGGGGTTACAGGGGGTTAAAGGGGGTGACATGGGGTTACAGGGGATTACAAGGGGTTAGAAGGGGTTACAGAGGGTTACAAGGGGCTACAGAGGATGACAAGGGGTTGCAGGGGATGACAAGGCCTTACAAGGGGTTACAAGGGATGACAAGGGGTTACAAGGGGTTAAAGGGGGTGAGAAGGGGTTACAGGGGATGACAAGGGGTTACAGGGGGTTACAAGGGGTTACAGGGGGTGACAAGGGGTTACAGGGGGTGACAAGGGGTTACAGGGGGTGACAGGGGGTGACAAGGGGCTACAGGGGGTGACAAGGGGTTACAGGGGTGACAAAAGGGGTTACAGGGGGTGACATGGGGTTATAGGGGTGACATGGGGTTACAGGGGGTTACAAAAGGGGTTACAAGGGGTGTTACAAGGGGCTACAGGGGATGACAAGGGGTTACAGGGGTGTGACAAAGGGGTTAGAGGGGGTTACAAGGGGATGACAAGGGGTTACAAGGGGTTACAGGGGTGACAAGGGGTTACAGGGGATGACATGGGATTACACAGGGTTACAGGGGATGACAAGGGGTTACAAGGGGTGACAAGGGTTACAGGGTTACAAGGGGTTACAAAAGGTTACAAGGGGTTACAGGGGTTACAAGGGGTTACAGGGGTGACAAGGGGTTACAGGGGGTTACAAGGGGTTACAAGGGGTTACAGGGGGTGACAAGGGGTTACAGGGGGTGACAAGGGGTTACAGGGGGTTACACGGGGTTACAGGGGGTGACAAGGAGCTACAGGGGGTGACAAGGGGTTACAGGGGGTGACATGGGGTTACAGCGGGTTACAACGGATTACAAGGGGTTACAGAGGGTTGCAAGCGGCTACAGGCGATGACAAGGGGTTACAGGGGGTGACAAGGGGTTACAGGGGGTTACAAGGGGTGACAAGGGGTTACAGGGGATGACAAGGGATTACACAGGGTTACAGGGGATGACAAGGGGTTACAGGGGTGACAAGGAGTTTCAGGGGTTAAAGAGGTTACAGGGGTGACAAGGGGGTACAGGGGGGGATGACAAGGGGTTACAGGGGGGACAAGGGGTTACAGGGGTTTATCTGGGGGGGGGGTACAGGGGGTGACAAGGGGCTACAAGGGGTGACAAGGGGTTACAGGGGGGGTGACAAGGGGTTACAGGGGGTTACAAGGGGTTACAAGGGGTTACAGAGGGTTACAACGGGCTACAGGGTGACAAGGGGTTACAGGGGTGACAAAGGGGTTCCAGGGGTTACAAGGGGATGACAAGGGGTTACAAGGGGTTACAGGGGTGACAAGGGGTTACAGGGGTGACATGGGGTTACAGGGGTGACATGGGGTTACAGGGGGTTACAAGGGGTTACAGGGGTTACAACGGATTACAAGGGGTTACAGGGGCTACAGGGGGATGACAAGGGGTTACAGGGGTGACAAGGGGTTACAGGGGTTACAAGGGATGACAAAAGGGGTTACAAAGGGGTTACAGGGGTTACAAGGGGGGTACAAAGGGGTTACAGGGGTGACAAGGGTTACAGGGGTGACATGGGGTTACAGGGGGTGACATGGGGTTACAGGGGGTTACAAGGGGTTACAGGGGGTTACAACGGATTACAAGGGGTTACAGGGGGCTACAGGGGATGACAAGGGGTTACAGGGGGTGACAAGGGTTTATAGGGGGTTACAAGGGGTGACAAAGGGTTAGAGGGGATGACAAGGGATTACACAGGGTTACAGGGGATGACAAGGGGTTACAGGGGGTGACAAGGAGTTACAGGGGTTACAAGAGGTTACAGGGGGTGACAAGGGGTTACAGGGGGTGACAAGGGGTTACAGGGGGTGACAAGGGGTTACAGGGGGGTTACAAGGGGCAAGGGGTTACAGGGGTGACAAGGGGTTACAGGGGTTACAAGGGGTTACAAGGGGTTACACAAAACAGGGGATGACAAGGGGGGGTTACAAAGGGGGTTACAAAAGGGGTTACAGGGGGTGACATGACAAGGGATTACAAGGGGTTACAGGGGATGGGGTTACAAGGGTTGACAAGGGGTTACAAGGGGGGTGACAAGGGGTTACAAGGGTTACAAGGGGTTACAAGGGGGTTACAGGGGGTGGGGTTACAAGGGGTTACAAGGGGTTACAAGGGGTTACAGGGGGTTACAGGGGGTTACAAGGGGTTACAGGGGTTACAAGGGGTTACAGGGGGTTACAAGGGGTTACAGGGGGTGACAAGGGGTTACAGGGGGTGACAAGGGGTTACAGGGGGTGACAGGGGGTTACAAGGGGTTACAAGGGGTTACAGAGGGGTTACAAGGGGCTACAGGGGATGACAAGGGGTTACAGGGGGTGACAAGGGGTTACAGGGGGTTACAAGGGATGACAAGGGGTTACAGGGGGTGACAAGGGGTTACAGGGGATGACAAGGGATTACACAGGGTTACAGGGGATGACAAGGGGTTACAGGGGGTGACAAGGGGTTACAAGGGGTTACAGGGGGTTACAAGGGGTTACAGGGGGTGACAAGGGGTTACAAGGGGTTACAGGGGGTGACAAGGGGTTACAGGGGGTGACAAAGGGTTACAGTGGGTGACACAGGGTTACAAGGGGTTACAGGGGATGACAAGGGATTACACAGGGTTACGGGGGATAACAAGGGGTTACAGGGGGTGACAAGGAGTTACAAGGGGTTACAGGGGGTTACAAGGGGTTACAGGGGGTGACAAGGGGTTACAGGGGGTGACAAGGGGTTACAGGGGGTTACAAGGGGTTACAGGGGATGACAAGGGATTACAAAGGGTTACAGGTGATGACAAGGGGTTACAGGGGGTGACAAGGAGTTACAAGGGGTTACAGGGGGTTACAAGAGGTTACAGGGGGTGACAAGGGGTTACAGGGGGTGACAAGGGGTTACAGGGGGTTACAGGGGGTGACAAGGGGTTACAGGGGGTGACAAGGGGTTACAGGGGGTGACAAGGGGTTACAGGGGGTGACATGGGGTTACAGGGGGTTACAAGGGGTTAGAAGGGGTTACAGAGGGTTACAAGGGGCTACAGGGGATGACAAGGGGTTACAGGGGGTGACAAGGGGTTACAGGGGGTTACAAGGGATGACAAGGGGTTACAGGGGGTTACAAGGGGTTACAGGGGGTGACATGGGATTACACAGGGTTACGGGGGATGACAAGGGGTTACAGTGGGTGACAAGGAGTTACAAGGGGTTACAGGGGGTTACAAGAGGTTACAGGAGGTGACAAGGGGTTACAGGGGGTTACAGGGTGTGACAAGGGGCTACAGGGGGTGACAAGGGGTTACAGGGGGTTACAAGGGGTTACAGGGGGTGACATGGGGTTACAGGGGGTGACATTGGGTTACAGGGGGTTACAAGGGGTTAGAAGGGGTTACAGAGGGTTACAAGGGGCTACAGGGGATGACAAGGGGTTACAGGGTGTGACAAGGGGTTACAGGGGGTTACAAGGGATGACAAGGGATGACAAGGGATGACAAGGGGTTACAAGGGGTTACAGGGGGTGACAAGGGGTTGCAGGGGATGACATGGGATTACACAGGGTTACGGGGGATGACAAGGGGTTACAGGGGGTGACAAGGAGTTACAAGGGGTTACAGGGGGTTACAAGAGGTTACAGGGGGTGACAAGGGGTTACAGGGGGTTACACGGGGTTACAGGGGGTGACAAGGGGCTACAGGGGGTGACAAGGGGTTACAGGGGGTGACAGGGGGTTACAGGGGGTTACAAGGGATTACAAGGGGTTACAGAGGGTTACAAGGGGCTACAGGGGATGACAAGGGGTTACAGGGGGTGACAAGGGGTTACGGGGGATTACAAGGGGTTACAGGGGTGACAAGGGGTTACAGGGGATTACATGGGATTACACAGGGGTTACAGGGGGATGACAAGGGGTTACAAGGGGTGACAAGGGGTTACAAGGGGTTACAGGGGGTTACAAGGGGTTACAGGGGGTGACAAGGGGTTACAGGGGGTTACACGGGGTTACAGGGGGTGACAAGGGGCTACAGGGGGTGACAAGGGGTTACAGGGGGTGACATCGGGTTACAGGGGGTTACAAGGGATTACAAGGGGTTACAGAGGGTTACAAGGGGCTACAGGGGATGACAAGGGGTTACAGGGGGTGACAAGGGATGACAAGGGATGACAAGGGGTTACAGGGGGTTACAGGGGGTGACAAGGGGTTACAGGGGATGACATGGGATTACACAGGGTTACGGGGGATGACAAGGGGTTACAGGGGGTGACAAGGAGTTACAAGGGGTTACAGGGGGTTACAAGGGGTTACAGGGGGTGACAAGGGGTTACAGGGGGTGACAGGGGTGACAAGGGGTTACAGGGGGTGACAAGGGGTTACAGGGGGTGACAAGGGGTTACAGGGGGTTACAAGGGGTTACAAGGGGTTACAGGGGGTTACAAGGGGCTACAGGGGATGACAAGGGGTTACAGGGGGTGACAAGGGGTTACAGCGGGTTACAAGGGATGACAAGGGGTTACAGGGGGTGACAAGGGGTTACAGGGGATGACAAGGGATTACACAGGGTTACAGGGGATGACAAGGGGTTACAGGGGGTGACAAGGAGTTACAAGGGGTTACAGGGGGTTACAAGAGGTTACAGGGGGTGACAAGGGGTTACAGGGGGTGACAAAGGGTTACAGGGGGTTACAAGGGGTTACACTGGCTTACAAACGATTACAGAAAGGTTGTTCTTTAACTAGAACGTCCCCATTTTGCATAAAAATCAAGGTCTAACAAATCTGAAAGTTTAGACAAAAACGATGGACTAATCCCTTTGGAAAAATTCTAATTCTGCGTTTTTCATAAAAAGATGTTCTTATAGTCCTCAAAGGCTTCTTTTCTATCTACAATCATGGACCAAAGTCTTGGGCGTTTTCCAATTCACACAGCTCCAACCCCTCCCCTCATCCCACAAACAATGTTGGATGCGTGTATCCAAAATCTTTTTCGAGTTTCAACTTTGTATGGGGTGGGGGGAGGGAGAACTGCAAGAAAATTTCAAAAAGAATGTGCTGTTTTAAGAGGGAACCGTGAAATGACAGAAAAATATGAATACTGTAGTACTGTCCAAAGGACTTTTGTCCAGGATGGTAGGTTTAATAGTTCTTTGTTCACAATATTGAAGTTTAAATCACACCATCAAGCACAGCATCAAGCAGGCCATTGCTATTAGACAAAGGAAACTTGAAAAGGTGAATACTAGATTTCCCTAAAACAAGATTTCAATTGCCTACAGTGCTGTGCAACATATAATATTAATACTAACAAGTTCATTTTAGCATAACTAAGTACATCTACCTTTCTCCTTTTTCTTAACCTTCTTCCCTCCTCTTGTTCCTTGACGTAAGTACAGTAAAATCTGAGTCAGTTTGTTGATAACAATGTCATTTGTAGTTAGTGTCGCTTGGGTCTGCAATAAACAGAGAAATAAAACTGTCACAACAACAAGAAATAGTTTTTTCATAGGGAAGAACCCAACGTACTGTAAACCCTCTATTAAGCCCCCCGGGGGGGCTTATTTTTTTCAAGCAATTTTGAGGGGGGGCTTATTTAATGTAGCGAAACGCATCACCTGTAGCAAAAATACCGTGGTTGGCATTTTCAGTTGGCATTTACCGCCTGTCTACCAGCAGCTCTCAAGATCAAGAACTATTTGGCTATAGAATTATCATTTCTGCTGCTTAAATTTTTATGTCGTGAAGGTTGCAGCTTAGAATTTTCATCGACAGGAGCAAGGTTTCTTGAGGACAAACTTGTTGTTCCCGGGCGGTATACTGCTTTGTCTAACGATAAGAAAATGGTGACAATTCTCCACAGAGAACTAGAGCGCAAAGTTGAGAAAGTTAAGCATATGAAGTTGGAGGTCATGCGGCCGAAGACCAAAAACAATATGAACTTCCAGCCTGAATAAACCATAACTGATCAGTCCATGTTAATTGTTAATTTTTTTTGTGAAGAATAAGGATTGGGGGAGGGGGAGAGGCTTAATAGAGAGGGGGGGCTTATTAACTTTCCTCCTCTGAAAAGGGGGGGCTTATTTGAGAGGGGAGGCTTAATAGAGGATTTACGGTATTTCTTCCCGAGGCTTTTTATTGTCTTTACATTTGTTAGACAACATTACTATGGACCCCAATAACACAATGTTCAGTCTTGCATGTTTCAAATCCCTACAAAAATAACGTACGAAGAAAAATTTTAAATAATCTTACTTCAATTCCAGGACAGTCTGCTTTGCTCCTGATTAGGGTTGTAGGAATATCACTTTCAGCATACTCATCTTCAACATCAAACACATAAGCCTGTGTATAGATAGAAAGTCCATCAGAGAGAGTGATTTGCCATAATGCTGAAAAATTTTTCAGTTAATTTGGATAAGCTAGCTATCGAAACAAAAGGTTAGCTTACCATTCTCCCTGGTTGAAAGAGTTCATTTCTCTCAGCTGGGCGGCTTCTGAACAGAGTTTTATAAATCTTTTGACCTATTATAAAGAAAAGACTTGTCATTTTAACAAGAAGCAATGAGACAGTTGTCATTCATTGTGTAGTTTAGAATAAACATGTATGTGACCTCTCATGCCAAAACATTCCTTATGGCATCTGTTTGAATGGCTGAACTCAAGAAATTCCAGGGGAAAGAAGTATCTCAAAGACTCAAAAATTTAGAACAATGTATGAAGCTAATAGAATTTTCCACAAGAGAAGGGAGTCATACAACAAATTGATTCTGGACTCTAAAAACTGTTTATATTACAAACAGGAATATCAAAATTTTCTATGTGGGATACTCTAGTTCATCATATTTAAATGGTCACTATCAACAAGTTTGACAAGGAATTCCCTGGAACATTTGAATACCATTGTACTTGGTCATCCCAGCAAGCAGGCATTGTTTCCTGGTCCAGTGTGTAGGGTTAATCATTAACAAAATTTTTTGTGAGTTATTCTTCAACATGGTACAGCTGTAGGACAGTAAAGTTACCTAGCTTAGTTGTAAACTCAATTTCATCAGCATTATCATCTTCTTCCCTGTTGAAAATGAAAAGAGGAATTTGTTACTGAAGTAACTGGCAGTAAGGATGTGTACGTCAACCAATAAAATACGGGGCTATAGGTGAATCTTAAATGACAGAAAATTTGCAGATTTAATCTATTTGGCAAACTTCAGTGATGTAACCCATCTCTTGAGGATGAATGACAATTTTACGAATGATATCTTCAAATTAAAGGATGGAGCAGTAAAACTACTTTTCCCTTAAGTTATTACTATTAATTTGTTATTAAATAATATGCACTGAATCTTACATGTACACAGGGGAACCTTGATATAACAAACCTCTATATATAATGAAGTCCTTGATATGATGATCAATTTTCCTTATCGCAGCAATAGTAAAATATATGAAAAAGAAGCTCAACATAACAACACATTTTGCCAGTCGCTTGGACTTATATCAAGGTTCTATTATTGAGGTTTTATTTTGAATGCATTTGCATAAATAATGAATGGACACTTCGTAGTTATTTGATAAAATTGACTGTTGCATTCAAACATTGCAACAGTCAGAGTTTAATGCTGGGAGAGTTGAATTTTCGTAGCTTCTTTTTCAACTGCTTTTTTAATTGATCACATAACTGCTTGGAATATTTATCATCCAATAACATTATAATGCTCAAGAAACTTGCATTAACAAAAAATTAATATTCAAATGTATAGAACCAAAGTAGCAGTAAAAACACAAGATTAACAGTGGAGTACATACATGTCCTTTTGTTTAGTTTTTGTCTTTTTGCTAACCAGTTCCTGGTTTTCTTCATCCTCTTCAGCAATTTCGCTGCGCACCTAAGTAAAACAGGTGCCACATGGGTTATACGGTAGATATACAGTAGATATAACTATAGCAATAAATAGAATATAACCAGACTGTTGTTAATATAAAAATCCTCATTCAAAAGCCCCCCATTATCAAAGGTGTCAAGTATAGTTCTATGGAATTGAGGAAAAGAGGGGCTTGTTTTTTAAATATGTCCTTGTAATTAATGGGCCTTAAAGGCTGCTGTGTTTATATTCAAGATCAATATTCAATCATTGTGCTAATAACATAATACACCTGTCAGTTAACAAAATAAAATGGACTAATTTGCTAGCTAACCCCCAACCCATGCTTTAATTTTTCAGACTTTGATCTCAATATCTCGCTTTGCAACCAAAAAGTTACTATGATGACATATTAATTCAATATTATAAGTTAGATTAGAGTTAGTGTTAGTTTTTTTGTAATTCTATATAATAATATTATTATCACTGGCAGTAGTTATTGTATGCTTTTTTTTCTTTTTCTTTTAAGCAAAATACTGGTTGTTGTAAAGTGTCATGCATAAGTTGTTAATTTAACTTTTCTTAACTTGTAAGCTGTCTATCACTGTTTGCGTTACGTGTGTAACTACGTGTGTTACATGTGTAATTTGATCATTACATACAGCAATGTTCTTTATTGTAAGTGTTTTGGGTGTAATACATGTAGTTGAATAAAGTTGGGAAAAAAGTTACTATGACTTTTAAACATTAAATTAACACACAAAAATAAATCTAACCCATGGTCAGGATGAATTTGACACTGAAGTAGTGATAGGGCCATAGCTGTAACCTTATCAGGGACCGTAAGGAGGGGTCCTGATCCCACATTCCAGCTCCTTTTTCATGATGATCCTGCATCCTGAACTTCTATCATCTCTATCCCAAAGTACAGTATTTTTCCCAATACCACATCCCATGCCAAGATTTTGGCGACTACTGCTTCCCAAGTAGCGGTCAAATCCTGTATCTCGTCAAGAAATTTTGCATTTTTTTTAATCCTGCACTGCAGTTCAATCAAATCCCAGATCCCAAGACCATGCTTAAGCCCTTAGAGTGATCAGCATTAATTTTTTTTGCATAATATCTCTGCCTTATAGGGCAGAGTGGTCACATCAAATTAAGGACATGATCACACAAGGATGAATTAAATTTCATTTATACTTTAACAATTTCTCCCCATTACTTCTATGGAAATGTACAGGGACACTAAATTTAATGAAGATTTCAATTTTCTCTGTTAGTGTTTAAAGGGTTAACTGCTGTAAGAACTAAGCAACTTGTAAAAAAGAAGAAGCAGTTTACCTTCTGTAACAAGGCAAAGTCCAACCCTTTCACAAGATGAGTGTGCTCCATATCACCACCAAGAAACTTACTCTCTTGAATAGCTTGCTTACGTCTCTCAGCTGCAGTATTCCTATTAATGCATGACAGAAGACACTTCTCAATTAATGAGGGAACCATATCCTTGGTCAGTGAGTCTATTTAATCTCAAACAATAAGACAAGTACATCAATCAGTTCCAGCGGTGTCCTCTTCATCTAAGAAATTTTTTTTTTTCCACTACCACTAAGAAGTTATTTTTTTTACAATAAGTGAGTGATTTCTTGTATACTCAATGGTCAAGGCGTACAGTCTACATGTACGAGTACATAGACCAGAGAAATAACATAATGATGGGGCAATTTGTGTTTCTTTGTCTCTGGCACCCAATTCTCTAAAATACTTTTCAGAGATGGAGACTGAAAACAAGTTTTCAGCTCTTATATGCAGTACACTGTAACAGAAATGGTATCTAAATGTAAAACACTTTGCACTGACACCACTCAACTGTGGCTTCACTGGTTTCCCTGCCAAATGACGTCTGAGAAACGAGCGCAGAAATTCCATACTGATGACGCATCACTACCCAGATCAGGGTAGTGACGTGTCATCAGTATGGCATTTTTGGGCTCATTTCTCAGACATCATTAATGGTGGGGAAACCAGTGGTAGCGTTGCCAAATGTCAGCCGTTTTCTCAGGCTAGACAATAAGAGTACAGACAAAGGAATATTGCTGTCTATTGTTTCGTGGCTGGAACTTTGCAAGGAGTCATCTATGCATGCAGGCACTCCCAGGGGAGGGGCACTCCAGATTTCAAGTGATGGGGATGATGGAAGGAATTTTCTTGGGTAGGAAAATTTGGTAAGTATTTTTTGGGCATTCAGAACAATCTGAAGATTCATGCTAGTGCCCACATAACCAGGCCACATAGTGCTGCGATTAAAGTACAACCAAACTTGTGTTCCTTTCTGGAGATTTTTAAGGCTTGTAAATTTGTTATGGGATTTATTTGGGGTTAAATTTTTGGTCCAGGGATTTTTTTCCCCATTTGATCATCCCCATCACTTGAAATCCAGATTAACCCCTCCCCCCGGGCAAGCACTATCCTTGCTGTCTGATTGTTATTCCATTCAACAATGAATAGCCAGAGCTATGCTCGAGCAGCACCTGGCCTCTGGCACCTTTCGCACTTTTGCTGTTGAATCTACCACAAACTGGTGAATCTAAGCTTTTTCATAGAAATCTTATGTGGGGCTCCCTGGTTCAGCGCACCACGTTCCCTTCAATTTTTCTCAGAGCACAGCTTTGAATAGCTACATTGAAGAAACCACATTGGCTATAAGCTTGGCTTCTAGCCAATGGGGAAAGAAAGGCCAGTTTATATAAAAAAACTTAGGTGCCTCACGTTGCTTCTGCTGTTGGTCCAACTGCTCTGTAGTTAGCTGTCGCACTTAAAGTATCAGTTGACTGGTAGTCCGGATTCAGACCATCTCGCCTCTCCCTTGCCTAACAAGAGCAAACATTTAAATAACAAATTAATATTGACGTTTAATAAAGTGCTAAAGAGGAGGCAGTGAGGGTCAGATGTACATGACGTTAGGGTACATTGAAATATGGAGATCAGAAAGATATCTTTATAATATCATTATTATGCTTAAGATAAAAGAAACATAAAAGAATTGCCTCTCTCTTTGACTTAGACTTTCTCAAAGTCCTTTGCTTCTTATTTCTGGTTCCAGTATTGGGCCCCAGTACGAAGGACTTTTATCACCTGCAGCACGCAAAATTTACAGGAGGAATTTTCCTCCTGTAGCTTTTATCCAATCACGAACGCTTTTACTGATGCACCATCAATCACACCTGATCACGCCACACGAAACATGACTTGAACTGTTTTGATCGAAATTCAGTTGAACTGTGTATTTTTGCGGGCTTTATTTCAATTTTGTTTTATCGCCTGTATTCAAATACAAAGCTTTAGCAGGCATTTTATCTTCCTCCATTTGGGTACTTTACCAAGGTTGGATTTTCCTGGCCCCCAGGGAGCGAAAAAACATTACCGACTTGTTTTGTTTTGAGTGCGCGCAATTCAAAGTTTTTGTTTTTTTTTGTTTTCTTTCATAGTGTATGCCAACCTTTCAACGAGCCCAAAACGTCTGGAAACTGAACTCACAAATATCACAAGATGGCACTTTTGTTCATTACCTCTTTTTTGTATTGAACATTCTTTTATTTACTCTATTTACTTTCTCTTATCAGAATTTTTTTCTGTTATTTGTTTGTTTTGACATACTTTGACAGCCCGCAATGACACATACACGTGACAACACGCCTGACAGGGACCCAAATAGTTGCGCCAAAATGACGTCACTTGATGCGATTTTTTGCAGGGGAAACAAGTCGAGCTCTCGCTCTCTTGCTTGCTTTTGCCACAGAAAACATAAAAAATCTACTGCTCGCACTTCACGCTCGTGAAAAAATTTGAGCTTGACTTGTAGGCAAGTCTATCTTTGACTCAAAGCTGAGATCTCCGCAGAGATTAATCAAAGGATCTTTCGCAGTTTGTAATCTGTTGTTTGTTTATGCAGTTACATTGTAAAACCACTGCTTTGTGCTATCATTATTTACTTGCTTGTACACTTGATGGTTGTTTTGAATATGTTATAAGTCAAAATTACAGTGTATTCACGTTGAAGTTTTTTAACCTGGGTTGAATCTCGGGGCGTTTTCCAAAAGACAGAACTGACCGGCCGGACCATGGCCAGACCACACTTTCTGGCAATGAAATAGGCTTTTTCCAAGACGTTTAGCTGAAAATCCATCTCCTCTGGGTATAATATTTTGGATTTGACTGATTTGGATGGTTAGTTTTGATTAAAAATGAAATTCTCATGAAGATCAGAATGGGCTGGCCAGTCAGTTCTGACAAATGGAAAGCGCCTTCAGTTTTCTTTGTCTCCTAGCCCTAATTCATGAATAATTAGGGCCAGGTGACGAAGGAAATTAAGAATCAACCTAGGTTCAAAAATGAACCTGAATTTAATTTTGTCCTGTAACAGATGTACATGTACCCACAAATTAACCATCATAACCCTTAGAACCCCAAATGCAATATTTATACTACCAGGGGTGTTTATTAGTGTAAAAATAAGCTACATTATACATGTACATTGTCTTAACTGTATAAATTTATTAAGAAAGGGAAAAGTTTAAAAGCAAATCATATCAAATACTTGAAAGGTCAATCAAAACAGGATAATCAGTGACCTCCTCCACCATTAATATTTACTTACCCTGTCTCTGTATTTGCTGGCAAGTTCTTGTTCCCTCTCTTCCTCCATCTTCTTAAGTTTGGCATAATATCTTATTGGAAGAAAGAAAATAATGAATTTAGTCAAAAAAAATGATTTTGTTACCTCTGCGTCCTGCATTCCTGACGTATAAAAATCCTCAAAGACGTAAAATATTTAATTGCATGCGTCCCGTAGGATGCAAACATTGATTGAGCACTGTGAAGATGTTTTTGTAGAATATCCTGTTTGTATGATTTCTGTAGCCATTTTTGTGGCTGCTTTTTAACGACACATATCTCTTTTAGTCTTTGTTGTGCTTTACAACAGAAGGAGTATACTTTTATTTCAGCAAACTTTACTACAGAGTTTTGGAGTCTGTCTTCAGATTAACTATCTGGTTGCATAAAAGACCAAACATTTTCAGTTTAGGACTCAATAGGTCTGGACTGGGACTCATAATTTTTCACAAGTTGAGTCTCAGGACTCACCAAAACTATTATTGTAACAAATCACTGCAAACATTGCTTTTGAGGGGCAAATCATACTATTCCAGGCTTTATGCCTTTTTCTTCAATCACCTTACTACAAAGTTCAAGAAAGTTTTAAAAACGCTGTTGGTAAAAAATCTAACCTCTTTTTCTTTCTCCTTCTTGACCATGGATCATCCTCATCACCATCATCATCATCTTCATGGTCCCTAGAAAGGCTTAAAAATCAATTTCTGTAAGTCGCAGGCTAAAATCAAGTTTTTGGTCAAGCTGGTGTATTTTCATTTAATTTACAATGTAGCTGAAAGAAGAAGTCACCACATTTTTCTTTCCTCTTGTTCTCCAGACGCAGTTAATCGATAAACCAATAATCGATATTAATCGATAGTAATCAATATCAATCATCGAAGAATATCGATTTCCAACATCGATTGATAGAAATCGATAAAGAAAAAAAAGTTGTGACTTCAATTAATATCGATGATTTTCCGATAGAAATCGATGATTTTTTATCAGTTGTTATTGATTACTATTGATTCCTATAGATTGTTATTGATTGTGTTAATCAATAATAATCGATAAATTATTTTTTTCTGCGACTTCTATTTCTGTCGATTTCTGATATCAATCAAGATTAATTGGCCGAAATCATCAATTAACATCGATGATTTCGATTGATTTCCAATGTAGATTTTTATTGATTAACTACGTCTGGTGTTCTTAGCTTAAAAGGTTACTTGCCCAGCAAGAAAGTCTACTTGAATAACAGTTTAACCTGAAAAGGGATAATACCTAGAACAAAAACATATCCCACCTGCTGGTACGATGTGAATGAATGCTGCTTGAAGTGCTTTTACTGCTGTGACTTGATGACCTTGCTGATGGAGGAGCCACAGATGGTGCACCAGACCGAGGGGTCATCAAAAGTTTCCTGAAATCCTCATTTGTCAGTGCTGATGTGCTAATAATAGGAAAAAATAAATAATAAAATATCAAAATACACATAAATCAGGTCACTACACTTTGAAAAAGGTTGTTCTTAATTTTTCTTCAACTCTTGGACTTATAAAACCTTGACTAAAATGCAACAAGGCTGAAGAGGACGTTTTATAGTTCAACAGAAGTAATAATAGACTAAACATCTCCTGCATTTCTGTTTAACTAAGCATCTCAAATCAAAGAGATGATGGATTGTAAAAAAAGAAAAGACAAAAACTATATATAGTAACCCTCTCCCCATGGAAAAAAATTATCAGTGATGAAGAGCCTTGATTTTCTGTGTGTAAATGTATCTTAGATTATGAATGGAATTGACTAATTCTACACTAACTAAAACGTGTTTTGTTCATTTCCTCTTTTTTCACAGTTATTTTTAAGAAGAAAATAAAATTCAGATGTAGACCTCGTCCATCATCGAGAAGAGGACGCGATGGATGACGTACCTATGATGTCCGCCATGATGCCCCGACAAAGATGGAGGCGCCAGGGGATTTGAGAACACTTCCACACCTGAAAAATAACACTTGAAAGTTAAGTAGCAATCTTCTAAATTTTAAAACAGTGCTAGCTGTTACCAAAGAGCCGATTTTTCATAAACAAAATGCTTCACCTTCCGACGGCATCGCTTCGTCCGACGACTTTGTTGGTGTTGTGGATTGATCGAGAGAGGCTTGGGGTTTAGACTGGCTGGCCTGGCTACTAAGGTACCCCTGCAAATCCAATATGGCGGCGGGATATGGCAAGGCGGCAGACAATTTAATAGATTTATAACGGACTTTTTAAGGTAGGAGGAAAATCTCACCTAATAGTACAAAACCATGTAAACTGCACCAGAGCCTCACTATGCTTGATGATTAATGAATTAGAACCTATCCCTGAATGCTTTTTTGAGTACAGTAATAAACTAAATAGTCCTCGCGTACCCGTCAAGCCTCTCAAGTCGCCGAAGCCCGAACTTATATCAATCTTCTTTTCTCTCGTCAAACTGGAATTTTTTTCAGTGCAAGCATCCATTTATTGATAAACGGATGGTCATTCTGCTAGCAGGGTGGGAGGGTATAGATATTTCTGGAAGCACATGTACACATGCAAATTAAATTCACAGGAAAAAATAACGGATTCCCATTTTTGGATTTTTTAGGGTATTTAAAGAATACCCACAAAAATCCCAAATTTGGAAAAGTGAGACAAGTCCCAATCAGGGAACTTGGTTGGGAATTCCCTGGTTGGGACTTGTCTCACCTTACCAAATTTGGGATTTTTATGGTTATTCTTTAAATACCCTAAAATATCCAAAAATGGGAATCCGTTATTTTTTCCTGTGACATATATGCATTTGAATTGATTCTGTCATTTTTGGTTCTAACAAAAGGAGTTAAGCCATATGGTTAACCTAAACTGGACTTTTCTTACAGGTGGTTAGGGAAGAGAGGGTGGTATTTAAAATCTTTCCTGTGAGATGGCTGGTACTGGCCAAATTTCTTATTCTTCTTTCTACTACATGGACATATGTAATGTGTAGTTCCAGCAAATATCCATATCCCCCCCCCCCCTACCCCCACCACGGAGGGCAACAGAAATTCAGAGCCGAGGAGGGTCCTAAAGGAGGCAATTTCTGAGAGGGTGGGGGGTGGCCCCTTGAGGCCTTTTTTGGGGGGCCCCCAAGTAAGATTGGTGAGTTATTAAAAAACTAACAGCCGTTCTGCTGAGTAAACTATCGGTTATTTTACTCTTAATCAATGTTTCAAAGCAAAAATTATTGTTTTCATCAATGATCTCTTATTTTCAGTCAGCTGAGTGCTTTTTTCACGGCTTCAGCAATAGTTTATGTCGCATGATTGTCGTTGGCTCATTAATAAACTTGGATATCTATCTGTTGCTTTGTTTAATATATTGTGGTATTCACTGTAATGTGGTCATGTTCTAATAAGCCTTCTTCTAACTGAAAGGAAGTAATTGAAGTTCACAGCTTTGAGAGATGGCATCACTTGTGTCGTGTGTGCCTTCCCTCCTCCATTGACCTAAGTGACTTACCATTAATACTTAACTAAGAAAGACCTCTACGAGGCAAAAAATTGAGTTTATTTGACACTGTATTAACTTAAATAAAGATTTTTCTCCCTTTATCGCAGAAACAGTAATATTATCTTTTGCATAAAAGCATAATGCAATGGCATTTTTGACGGAAATATTCTTTCCAGGGGGTACCCAACCAAGTTACAAAATATTATGGAAATTCCAGTGGACGGGAGGGTATGACAAGCACCCCCCTGGAATGAAAATTTCAGTGGGGTGGGAAGGTCTAAAATAAAAGTGCCCTCTGTGGGGGGTATGCATAGTTTTTGGAACTACACAACAAGGGGACAGCAAGCATTTTGCTGCAAAATTTTGGTATAGAATACCTCTCAATGTGGACAATAGATATCATTGTATTCTTTGCACAATTGGTAGATTATGGTCTGGACATTATTTTCAAATAATTTGATCTCTAACATAGCAACACCACAATATCAAGCTGTTCTACTCATAACATCAAAAGGCATTGTTTATTGTGCAATTATCTGACATCTTAGGTTTTTGTAGTGTTAAGTTAAACCACCTCTCTTCAAGGCGCAAACCTGGAGCATATCCTAGCATAGCTGAAGCCCAGCTTCTTTGACTTTGCAATAGCCTCAGCAGTAAGTTCCCAAGTTATAAGCTCAGTAGCCCATGAAGCCTAACCATGTTTTATACCTAAATGAACTAAAATTGAGGTGATTATAACATTTCCAACCAAAAGTAACTAATTTTCAGCTTTTTCTTCTTTTTTGTTGTCATTTACAAGGTAAGGTCTTTCCTAGTAAAGTACCTATGCAAAGTTACAAGCATCAGCTGTCATATTCAAACTCCTCTTGGCAAATCACAGAAGAAAAGTTGTGCCAAATAGCAGAAACATTCCATAATGCAGATGAAGAAAAGAAAGGTTTCTTAACAAGTGAGGATCTTAAAGTTGCATTTGTGTCCCTCTTTGGTTACAAGCCTTCAAAAAGTGAAGTTCAGCAGCTTATGGCCAAGTTTCAGAAACCGGGATTATCAGTCAATGATCAGATACCAGGCTGCAGCAAAGCGTTTGTTAACACCCAAACTGGTGTGACCTTAGAAAATTTCACAGAAATTGCAAAAATCAAGATTTTGGCTGAAGATACTGATGATGAGATCCGGCAGATGTTTATTGCATTTGACACCAAATGTCAAGGTTTCATCACTCTGGACATTGCTAAAAAGATTTTTCTACAAGTTGCTCCATTTTTGGACTCAGTTACAGTGGAGAAGTTGTTTCGAGAGGCTGATACAGATCGAGATGGAAGAGTTAGTTATAGAGATTTTGAATTCATAATGAAATACAGTTTGGATGATGAGACCTAAAATAATAATTATGTTGTCTTGTATCATTAGGGAAAATATAGAGAAACTGTTTATATAATATTCAGATTTTTTTCAGCATAGTAAAGAGTAAAAGAGAAAATGTAATATCCTAATTTTGAAGGTTCCGAGTTTGGCAAATATACCATTATTTCCACCAAAGAACTAATAAGCGAGTCACTGCCCTTGATGCTGGGATGTAGTTCTGCATACTTTTCAAATGGCCACAAATTGCAATAACAACTGGCCACTCATATGATCTAGCATAATCTGCATAATCCAAAACAACTGCATTTTCCCCATCTCCAATACGACAAACTGGGATTCCTTCCTGGGTCATAAAGGGAGAGAGATCATCAATCCACCGTGGAGTGGCAACCAGGATAGCAACTTTACGATAGAAAAAAAATCCATTCTCTTCCTTTGCCCATTCATTGATCTCATTCTTGATGATCTTAGAACAGTCGACAAATCGTTCTTCACGTGATCCATAACTTATTTTCCCCTCTACAATGACTTGGGGTCCACAAACATGGTGGCCAAGATAGACTGGATGATGCCAGTATTGTTTAGGGAATTCAGTTTCTCCAGATCGTTCACCAAATGAAAACTTCAGGTAACGCTGCAAAAAGTCATAAACCTCTGATGTGCATCTCATGACAGTTGTGAGGCTTGGTGCATGGATAAAGTTTTGGCTTTCACATAGCTCGGTGAGAAAGCTTGGAACATTCACGTTAGTTCGCTTCATTCCAAACACCTCATTAACAAACAGCATCTGATTGAAGTCGTAGGAAATCCACTGATAGAATGAGGTACTCTGATAACGAACCAAGAATTCTCTGATTGCGCCTAGTAATGTTTCATTTGTGAGAAGCAGTATCTGAAATTCATCAACGAAAACATGGACAGGTTTCACTGACATTTCTAAGGCCTGAGAGAGAAAAGTACTGATGCTGTCAAATGTTACAACAGTAACCATTCCATGGGCAATTTCGTTCCTTGTGAAGAATTCCTTGTAGAGCTTATCAAGTGGCGGGGGTACCATTATAAGTACCATTTCATTCTTCTTCGCACATTCAAGCGCTTTGTATTGGAGTAGAATCGTCTTTCCACTTCCTGGGGCGCCACAAAAGAGCTGGTGTAATGGTCCTTCCCATATGCCCAGTTGCTCCATGTTTAAGAACACAAACTGTTTTGCCAGAATTCTCAGACTTGTTGCATCAGCTGGCCTTACCACCACAGGCGACCCACTAGCTCCCTTTCTCGTCATCTTCGCGTGGCTTCTTTCAAGAAAGCTTTGCTCATCAATGGTTTTAAACACTCCACTGAGTATTTGGGTTGTGGCGCTTATTGCACTTCTCTGACCTACAAATACGGAAATCAAGCTCAATAGCTTCTCTATTTCTTCCTCAAAAGACCTGTCGGTGAAATGCTGTTTCCACCACATCTCGAAATGTTGCAAATTCAGCAAATTGTCATCTTCGTCGTCGCCTGTCATACCAAGATGAATCTTTCGGAGGTCAATAAAATCATTAGCACCACGTCCCTCATCGACGACGTTTGGCATTGCAATGACTCTATAGACAGGAATGTCTAAGTCCTTTGCTGTCAACAGTGCTTGAACGAATTTTTCTCCAACTTCAAGCTGTCTTTTCGCATCAAGATACCTATTTGTTTTGAACTTTTCTGTGGCTTTCACTTCGATGAGTATGACACCAATACGCCGATGTACGATGAGAAAATCTATTTCTCGAGAGAGATCTGTTTCGCTGAGATCGGCAAACAGAGATTGAACATATTCGCTTGGGAGGTTTTGTAGGAGGACTTGATCGATGAATTCTTGAAATTCAAATTTCGTTATGACGAGCATTGGCTGATTCGTTTCTCTCCCATATTTATCAAGGGCCCTAAAGATCCGTAACTCGGCTGAATCTCCCTTGATGTCCAATTCCTCAGACTTGCTAAGTCCTACAGCACCGGATGCTGCACCGGTTGGGGCTGTATAACGGAATGGAAATGCTGGAGGGAACATGTATGTTCGATCACTTGTCTTCCAGTCAGGCCAGAGTCTGTTGAGGTATTCTTTACAAGCTTGCTCAAGAATACAAAAGTACTTTCCCGCTGAGTCCTTCACTACACACGGCGAAGCCATTGCTGCACCAAGCACGGAAGTAACATGTTTGCTCTGCTACCGCGCCTTATTCCAAAGGCCGTGGACCCCAAGAAATAGGGCCCAGAAAACAAAGCTGAAGGC